GAGTGCAGGTATCGGCTACAACAGGCGGAAAATGCCGTAAACAACGTTACGATGTTGCTCAACGCAAAGTCCCAAAGCTACAATGAGCTAGAGAAGAAGTGTGAGGTGCTGGAAAAGCAGATCAAGCAACTTACCAACAGAGCAAGAACGTGTGAGACGGTATGCCGAGTGAGCAGAGTTTGTAATGGAGAATAGATGATGCATCATTTGATCAGGCGATGGGAGCGATGATGAAACGGGAAGCGGAGCTTCGATTAGAGGCTAAACAGCTCCGTGCACAACACGATGACTTTGATGAACTGATTGCAAGACCACCACCACCACCTCCTCCTCCTCCTCCTCCTCCTCCTCCTCCTCCTCCTCCTCCTCCTCCAGCTGCCAACCCCCTATCACGGCGGTCACATTCCATCCCTCGTCCTTGCACCTTCTGGCATTTCCCACCAGCCGCATCTCAATGACCTGATGCGGGCCTGGTATTTTCTCTCTTTCAGTTTGTCCTACCTCCCTCCTCGCTCCTCCCTCGCTCCTCCCTCGCTCTCCTCCTCACGTCACTGCCTCCTTGTCTCACGTGCATGAGGGCCAAGGGGAGCAGCTTCAGTCTCCTGGTAGGCGTCAACCTCCTCAAGTTCACATCCTTGCCTCTCAGCAGGGGGTTTCATCTCACCTCTACACTTGCCATGGCGACGGCCGAGGAGTCAGCGAACATGGTGCGAATGAGATATCATTCTGCTGATGGTGGTGCTCGTCCTCATGCTTCTGATTTTTCTGCTGTTGCTGTTGCTGTTGCTGTTGCTGTTGCTGTTGCTATTACTCCTGCTCCTCTTCGTCCCTCCTTCTCCTCCTTCTCTACTTCCTCCTTCTATTCCTCCTCCTGCAGTTGTTGCTGCCCTTTCGTTCCTTTCCTTCCCCTCCTCCCATTCCTCCTTCTCCTTCTCCACCTCCTGCGGAGGCGTTGGCAGCTGCTCCTCCTGCTTCTTCTAGTGCTGCACAGCTTACACGTGGGGCCCCAGTATCTTAAGGACGGGCGAGTAACCATCTTGGCCTACGGAGCGCTTTTATCAGGCAAGAGGAGGAGAATAGTAGGATGTTTCTTAAGGGCATGCAGAGAGGAGCGCAAGATTAACGTTTCCTCATCTTCGTGACTTTCGACTCGTGCGGGTGCAGGACCATCGCCGAGTCTTCGCTCACCCGTAGCTCCTTCTTCCTGCCTTCTCGCTGCTGCTCGGCTCCTGTCCTGCTCCCCCGCCACCTGCTCCTGTCCTGCTCCATCCGCTTCGCTCCTGCTGCAGCCTTCTCCGTCTCCACAACGCTTCAGACTCTGCTGCCTCACCTTTCTTCTCTTCCTCGCTCTCCTCGCTCTCCCTCTCTTTCTGCTCACTCGACTTCTGCTCCCCTTTCATCTCTCAGTCTTTCTCAGACACAACTTCCTCATCCAACAAGGCATCATCGACCCATCGACGACGCTGCGCTTCGCGTCTCTCTCAGTGGAGCCCGCACTAGGGCATCAGCTGACTGCTGCCGCGTTCGAGGTGAGGCGCAGCTGGAAGGGAAGGCGGCTGAGCTGGTGCAGGTGGACATGGACGGCAAGCAGAGGCAGAGCTTTGTGGAGCGGGAGCAGGAGTATCAGTTCGGGATAGCGACGTTCACAGACATCAGAGGGGAGGGAAGGAGGGAGGGGGTCTTATGCCTCGCCAACGACGACTCTTCCATCCCCGAGGAGACGAGGAGGAAGCTCAAAGTGCCGCTGGTGTGGGGGTGGGGAGAGAGGTCGGGGCTGGAGCCAGCATGGATCTACCTGCGACACTGTATCCTTGCCTGCCGCAAAGGAGGAGAGGAAGCGGAGAGAAGCTTCTTGGACGAGACTTTCCTCGTCGACAGGAAGACAACCATAAGGGACTATCTCCAGCTTCACCCCGAGGTGCTGGATTCCTCCCCTCCTCCTTACCTCGAAAGCCGCTTCAATGGTTGAAGTTGCTGTTGCGACAAGGAGGGAAGGAGGAAGAAGAAGGAGGGAGGGAGGGAGGGAAAAGGAAGAGAGATGCGGAGTGTCATTATATTCCATGCCTGGCAATTGTCTGCGTATTCCTCGAATTGCTATCTGCCTTCATACGCAAAAGTTTCCTGCGATAGCATGAGATGCCGGCGGATGGTAAAAAGGACGATGAGGAAAACAACTTGGCGAGGAAGGGAAGAGTGAAGGAAATGGAACGTGAAAGAAAGAGCGAGAGATGCAACAAGACCTCAGAGCGTCTTTCTTCTGCTGCTCTCTTGTCTTGCTTGCTCCATGTCGATGAAAGATCAGTTTCGGCACCTGCCAGCCTTTGCCTACAGACTCGTTGAGGAGAGGACGAGAGTCGAAGCCTCAGGCTCACCGGAGAGAGGAGGAGGAGGAGCAATGGATTTGCGGCTCGAGCCCTGTGAAGAGCGTCAAGTGGCGGGCCGCCATCCTTGCACTCAACCTGTGTGTGAGAAGAGGTCGAGGAGGAAGGAGATAAGACGGCCGGCGCATTCTTCGTCTTCCAAGTCTTCTGCAGGCGACGAATGGCATAGCTATCAGCATTTGACCAGTGCGACCGCTACCCATGACCTTCGCGTCAGCGACGAGCAGACGTGAAGAGGAGGAGAGCATTGGAAAGAGAGGAGGGCTCTGAACAAGAGGAGGGACCGAGGAGCGGAGAGGAAGAGAGGGAACCTGCTTCGTGGGAGGTCGAGTAGCTGCATTGGACGGGTGGGATGATACATGGGATGCATGGGGAGAAGGGAGAGGAGAAGGGGGAGGAGGAAAGCGAAGCGACGACTTGGACGTATTGCTCGCAGGATGGAGGACGGAGGATTTCGGCCAGGGGACGAACTTCTTCCACTGCTTCTCCTTCACCAGACCTGCAGGGCAGGGTGAGCGATCCAGGCAGAGGAAGGGAGGATCCCAGCAGGGCAAGGCGGCACCTTCCATTGTCCCGACGCTCTCAGCAGTCTTATAGAAGGTCTTGTCTTGATTTAGCTTGTTCACGGGTACCTGTTGTGTGCAGCTAAGGACCAAGAGAGCAAGTTCTCCTCTACCTCTACCTCTACCTCTCCCTCCTCTCTCCTCCATGTCCCTCCTCCTGCTTTTGACCATCTCAATCCTCCTCATGCTCTAGATCTTTCTCTTGCCTACGGCACTCTTCACCTTTGCCCCCTTACATTCGAGCTCTCTATCGCTCATCTCTCTTCCTGCCCCCACACTCTCCTACTCTCACTGCCTTCCTGCCTCCCTCCTCATCCTGCCTCACCTCAGGGTGGGGAATCCATTTACGCTTCCATGCCTCCTCCGGCTTCTTAGTCCAGCTGTTCTCCAGCTTTCCCTTGCGACCCATGTTCCACTTGCTCCTCTCCTCCTCCTCCAACTTGTTCGCCTCTGCCGACGACTTCTTGATCAGCCCCTCCGCCTGCTTGTAGATGTGATGCGCCTGCAGCGCCTCCGAGCTGCCGGCCCGGGGCGGCGCCTTCTCGATCTCGTGCTTCCACACGTCAGCTCCCATGAAGTTGCTCCACAGGCCCACGGCGGTGACCGACAGGCCGAAGAGGATGAGGAGGAAGGAGAGGAGGACCATCTGGAAGTGGTGGGAGCCCTGCCTTGCCTTGAGGTAGAGGATGGGGGGGATGAGGTAGGTGATGGCGGAGAAGGTGACTGAGCCGAGGATGGAGAGGACGTGGCCGAAGTGAGGCACGCAGAGGGCGATCAGGCCTGTGACCAGGACCCCAAGGACCTTGAAGATGCTCAGGAGACGATCTGAGATCTCAACGTCCGCCTCTCCGTCCTTGCTCGCTCCCGCTCCGACTTCACCTGCTCCTCCCCCTACCTCTGATCCTGATAAACCCAAAACAGTCGACCACCTCCTGGCCATGGGCGAGGCTGCAAACTTCTGCGCTACCTTGGAGAAGATCTGAGCGACGGGGAAGAACTGGAGGGGGTAGGAAAAGAAGATCACGACCACCATGAGCATCTTGACTGAGATTCCCCACAGCCCGTGGATGTTGAGGGTGATAACACTCCTGGTGTTGTCGCCGTAGAGCCAGTAGCCCATGACCCCGAAGCCGATGAACACGACAGTGACGAGAGTCTGCGTGATGTCGAACATCCGCTCGAACAGCTCTGGCTGCAGGAGTGTAAGTTGATGAGGACGGCCATGACTTTGATGATGATGATGATGATGATGATGATGATGATGATGATCAGGGAAAGAAGAGGGCTGGTGGGGAACCAGGGACAGGGGCAGAAGCAGGAGCAGGTACAGCAAGTTGTGGGGGGAGAAGAAAAAGGGAGGGAGGGAGGTTGGGGGGGACACGACATCATTGAACGCATCGATTCCAGAGCTAGGCACCATCGCAAACTCTTAACCATCAGAATCATCGACAGTCTCACCCGTTCGAGGGAGTCTTCTATCGCCAAAATCGTCGGTATCCCCTCCATGGCAAACACGGCGATCCCAACAAAGATCGGAAACGTTTGCCACCTTGCCTCCCAGTGCACCCGGCAGAACACCTGGGTGTCTGCGTCTCGATCGCAGACAGACGGGTGAACGAGTCCATGAGCTATCACAAGAGCTGAGAAAAAAGTGATCAGAGCTCCCTGGATGTTCCCCTCGTCCTCTTCCCCTTCTTCCTGTTCTTCCTGTTCTCCTTCCTTATTCCTCGTGTTGTGACCACTCTTGTTGTTCAATTCTCTTTCGATACCATTTCTAGTCTATGAAAGCAACTTTCATCAACTCTTCACCTACCTCTGCCACCTACTGCCCCTCCTCTTCCTCTTCCTCTTCCCCATCCTCATCCCGGCTCTCGTCCTCGTGCTCGGGCTCACCCATTGCGGTCATCATCGCCCCTTGCGCAAAGATCAGCAGAGGAGCCATGCGGGCAAAATCTTTGAACTGGCGAAAACACACGTTAGTGTTTGTGCGTCAACCACCAGCAGACTTGATTGCTACCCACCTGCACCAGCAGACAGAACAGCATCGTGTTGCACAGCACGAAGAACACGTAGGGGTTGTACCCTCGCGTCTGCATCTCAGCATAGTTGTGGGTGGGATACAACTCCTCAACGATGGCGGTGAAAGAGACGCCAAGGAAGATATTGTATGCTATGCAAGTGCCCAGTTGGCATAGTATGACAACAAGGTTGGCCCATTTTTCTCCTAACCCTGGAGAGATCACAGCTGCTATGTGAGGGATACTTGCTACATGCTCCCCGTGGATCTTGACCATCTCTCTCTTCGTCCACACCAACAACTTGGTAGCGATGTTGGTGGTGACAGCGACAATGAAACACGCGATGATCCCCGCAGTTACCCCGGAGTTGCGGAACGCAAACCTGCAGCATACTCAATCACACGCTTGTCCTCCTCTCCTCCATCCTGCCCCTCTTCTCCACCCTCCTCCTCTCACGGCATGCCAAGGATCCCAACGCCGAAGCAACTCTTGAAGAAGACAATGCCACCCTGCAGAGCGAGATCATCAGTCCTCTAAGACATCGACCTCCTCGTCTCTGCCTGCACGAGGCTTATCTTCTCTTTGACTGGCTGCTCGTCTATGATCTGGCAAGCACTCAATTACAAGCCGAAGCCTCAACATGCGAAAGGATTCACATTTCCGAGCACATGCTCGTTGTCAAGCACGGGTCCGTGATGCTCGGCATGATGCTCCCTGAGAGCTCCTGCCTGGTAAGACAAGCTGCTTCGAGTGAGAAGCTTCTGGAACAGTGCACAGCACAACAACACGACCTGTCTCCGTCTGCACCATGGCGCGTGCCCTGGTTCTTCACCTCCTCCATACCAGCAGGTACCTGGGAGAATGCAACCTGATTCCCAATTGAAAGTTAGCGTTACGTTCCAACAATAAACACATCGTTGACGATCGTCCCAGGACAAGTCAAATTTGAGGGTTGCGAAATCCGTCAACATACAGATCTAGAGGATCAGCGGATACGAAATCGAAAGATCCAACACATTCAGCATGTGCACCAGCGACATTGCGACAATTTCGTGCAGGTTTTCAACAAAACTTACGACGATTTCACAACTTGCTGTAAATCCCTGCAGGGGTTTTCATCCAATCAGACGAAAGCAGACGGGCTCCTATGTGAAACGAGTGTCTTTCAAGCTTGATGTCCCCTCGAGCATGACGCCTCCTGCTTCTCTCCTCCTCACGCCACCTCCCTCGTCCACGTCCAACTTCTCAAATGCAAGTTTCGCTGTTTCGGGGAACTACCATGTCACAACCAGCCCGTTACAATATGAAACTGCTCGTTACCTTCCGTTGAAATGAGACGGTTCTAAAAGCGGCAACTTCGGCCTGGTGGCCGCGGGCGGCCGGCGGCCCGGCCAGTCACCGGGCCGTCGCCAGAGGCCCGGGAGTCAGTCCCGCCCCCGTCCGGGGGCCGGGCTCGGAACTCACTGAGTCAGTCGGAACCGTTCAACGGTTCCGGGGAGTACGCTGGTCACGTTACCCGACTCCGAACCGGGCAGGCCGCCCCGGCTCCGTTCGGCCGGCCCGGCCCGCGGGATTGCCCGGGCCCGGCCGCGGGCGACCGTCTTAGTACTACCGGCGGTCCTAATCTTCTTTACTCAAAGTTAAGTGAAAAATCAGTACGAGGACAATCACTGACTGAAGTGTCAGGGTCAAGCCACCTCGACTCTCGGAGGCTCCTCGAGCCGCGGAGCCTCGTGATCTTCTTTACTCGTGATCAACGGTACCACGGGTACGCGTGTCGTTCGAGTCTCAGCCTGCACGGGCCGGGCCCGGACTTGAGTGCGGTGCCAACCGTTCACTGAACTCAGTTGAGGTTTTTTGAGATTTCAACTTTTCGTAAAACTTTGGCGAGTTGCTGGTACCAGAACAATTCAAAAACATATTGTATGCTTATCTATACATTATTTTTAAAACACATTGACATTGTAAGATCTATATTTATCCATTTGTAATATCTATATTATTTTAAGGAACCCAAAGGATGTGTTTTGGAAAAACCACTCCTGAAACGCTCCCTTCAGGAGATGTTTCGAAGGGGAGAGGCATCGTGTGCGGAGCATCGAGTATCTTCAGCGAGGTCGAGGGAGGAGGAATGGAGTTGATTGGGTAAGAACACTGTATCCTTGCCGTCTCGTCTACACAATCGTCGTCTTCCCGCTATCGGCCCCCATCAGGTGTGTACACTCGTCCCGCAAGCGCTTCTGACCATGTTGCTGCTGGTGGCTGGCAGGCTCGTCGTGACTGCAGCGCTGTTATCAACGTATCCTTCTCAAGCCATGTCAAGCAAGTTCAACGTTGTCGCTCTTGTGAGCGGGGGCAAGGACAGCACCATGAACATGATTCGCTGCGAGCAGCAAGGTCACAAGATAGTAGCGCTGGCCAACCTTTTCCCGGAGGGAGAGGAGGATGAGATCGACTCTTTCATGTATCAGACCGTTGGGCATGACGCGGTCGAGAGCCTCTCGGCGTGCATGCAGCTGCCCATGTATCGCCGGCCAATCAAGAAAGACCGTTCATTGAACCTCGAGCTGCAGTACGAGCAGACGGAAGGGGACGAGGTCGAGGAGCTGTACAAGCTGCTCAAGTTTGTTAAGAGCGAGAACCCTTCCATCAACGCCGTGGCATCAGGAGCCATCTTGTCCAACTACCAGAGGATCCGCGTCGAGACTGTCTGCATGCGACTGGGGCTGACTTCGCTGGCGTACTTATGGCAGAGCGACCAGAAGGAGCTGCTGGATGAGATTATAGAAAGCGACATAGAGGCGATATTGATTAAGATCGCATGCATCGGATTGCATCCGGGTGAGGAGAATTCTTAACTCGTTGTTCCTTGTTGCGCTTCCTCCCTGCCTGCCTACCTCCCATCCCCACTGAATATCTCCCTTCCTCCCTCCCCCCCAGCTGGAAAAGAACACATACAACTTTCCCTCGTTCTCACTCCCACCACCTCCTCTTCTCTTGATGACTCCTGGGCCAGATCGTCACCTGGGACAGACTCTTGCAGCTGCTCGGAGCACCTTGTTGAAGCTGAATGCTGACTACGGCTGTCATATCTGCGGCGAGGGAGGAGAGTATGAAACATTCACCCTCGATTGCCCTCTGTTCAAGAGCAAGATTGTGGTACAAGCCTCGACCAATATCACCTTTTTTCTATTCCTCTTTTCTCTTCGTCTTTTTCCTCATCTTATCCTTCTCCTCTTCCTTCTCCTCTTCCTCCTCTTCCTCTTCTTCCTTCTCCTCCTTTCCTTTCCTCCTCCTCCTCTTTCCACCTGTTCCTGCTCCTCCTCCTCCCCCCTCTCGTTTTGTTCTGAAGACCTTTTGCGATTGTTCAGGTGGACGAAACAAGAACTATCATGCATCAGGAGGATCACTACGCGCCTGTCGCGTACCTCAAGTTTGTCAGGTGGCACCTGGTCAGCAAGACAGAGGGAAGGGCAGCAGCAGCTCCCGACATCGTGATCGTCTCAGATGAGCTGATGGAGGACAGAAACCTGAGGATTGACTCAGAGAACGCTCGGCGTGTTGTGGTGCCGCAGACCGTCGAGCACAAGGACATGACGCACTACATCCCGGCGTTCTCGCTGCTGTCGAGCGAGACCAAGGCGGAGATGAACGGGCGGGACGACAACAACATGTCCGTACAAGAAGAGATGCGAGCTCTGCTGGGGTTGTTGCAGGACGAGATGAAGCGGAGAAAGCTTGACTTCTCCAGCGTCTCTTTTGTCTCTCTGTACCTCCACGACATGTCAAACTTTGCAGATGTGAACAAAGTCTACAGTAATGTTTTCCCATTGAGGTAAGAGATAGAGGCGAGGAGCAAGCATGGAGGACTGAGGGGAGAGGAGTGTCGATAGAGCACGAGGTAGTACATCCTTCCCCCACCTGACATACCCTTGGCAGATGTCCAGCAGCTCGGATGTGCGTCGGCCTCCCGCTGTCGGGGAGAGGAGGAGATCGTATCATGATCGAGATTTGTGCCAACGATTGCACACAGACAACATTGCACGTGCAGAGCATCTCACATTGGGCGCCCTGCAACATCGGGCCGTACAGGTAGGCTGGTCTGTCAGTCATGTTTGCGTTTGACAACCCTGCCCTCCAGTCAAGCCAAGACTATCCAAGGCAAGATTGTCCATGTCAGCGGGCAGATCGCTCTTGAGCCGGCGAGCATGACGTTGGAGGGTTCAGACCCAGAGGCTCAAATCTATCAGTGCCTGAGAAACTTGGAAGTCAGTACCATGCATATCCCTCTCCTCCTCGTTGTCTCTATTTTCGTCCTCCCCCTTCGCTTTCCTTCTCCTCTTCTCACCCTCGTTTCCTCCAACTCACTTCTCCTTCTTCCTCCTCTCCCTTCTTCAAGCTGACCTTCAACCTCAGGCAATCTTGTCCGAGTGTGATTCCGCAAACCGGCTCATCTTCAAGAACTCTGTCTACATGGTTGACGTCTCGAGCGCCCTACGAGCCCAGCAGGTCCTCCACGAGTCTCTCTCCTCCGACTTCGCCCGCCCCATCACCAGCTTCATTGAGGTCTTTCCCCTCCTCTACTGGCACCCCAGCTCATTCCCAGCTACATTTTAGGTTTCAAGTCTCCCACGAGGGGCGCTGGTCGAGTTGCAGGTGGCTGCCTTCACCACCTCGCTGGCCCGCGGGAGCCTGGTAGACGTTCCCAGCTGGTTGTCTGCTGGGCTCTCACCAGGGTGGCAGGCTGAAAAGTTCGTCTCGAGGGAGAGTAGGGAAGGGATGCTGAGCCTGAGCTGCGGCATGCTTGCGTCCTGCTGGTCCTTCGTCGCCCTCATGGACACGGAGGCCGCAAACTGCTGCGAGGACGCGATGAGGTGAGGAGGCCGAGGATGGTTCCAGCTGACGCTCTGCTGGTATCGCAGGATGATCGAGGCAGCAGTGGATGACATGATTGAGTTCGAGCTGGACGCCCAGGACGTGTCAACTTGCCGCATGTGGTATGTGAATGAGTCGCTTCCCCCGGCTGCAGTCCAACAGCTCAGCCTTGCCCTCCGGTCCCAGCAGAAGCTCCAGAAGGTCTCGCTGCTGCCGGCGAACGGCCTTGGGGTAGAGGACGAGGATCGGGTAACGCGAGGAGACCTCCTCCTAGAGGTTAGCGGGGTCAAGCTCCGCACCACCCACCAGTAAATAGCAAACAACTAGATGCTCTTCCATTTCCTTCCCTCCCTCCCTCCCTCCTCTGCTCCCTCCCTCTCTCCCTCCACTCTCCTTCCCCAGCTTCCACTTTGATCTCTCCAGTTTGTCTCATGCACAAACAGTTCATCGGAAATCATGGGACCATTACTTTATGTCACTGCAAGCTCTCCTCCTCCTCCTCTCCCTTCGCAGCTCCGTTATTCTGCTCCGTCAAAGTCATCGTGACGCAACCCATGTCACTCGTTCACCTCATCGTTTCGTTGCGCCTCTTGCTCGGCTGAATGCGATTCATGCCCCTCCTCCCCTTTCACCAATCCATTCCTCTGCTCCTGCTCCTGCTCCTGCTCCTGCTCCTGCTCCTGCTCCTGCTCCTGCTCCTGGTTTGTGTCCTGTTGTTGCTCCTTCTCCTGCTGCTCCTGCTCCTCCTCCTGCACCTGCCCCGCGCTCTCCCCCTTCGCCTCTCCCTCCTGCTCCTCGTCATCCTCTTCATCCACGTGCTTGTGCGTCTCCTGGCATCAGCGTCATTGCAAGGCTCCGCCTCCTCCTGTCTGACCGTCTCTGTGTGGGAGTCTTCCGAGCTCTCTTGCGACTGCTGAAGGAAGCCTCCTGCTAACGTGATGTTGTCATGAGATGAGAGAGGCAGAGAGAAGGCGAAGTAGAGGAGTGGGGAGGACAGGACAGGACAGGACAGGACAGGACAGGAGCGGGGATGGAAAGAGAAGAGGACGGAACAGAGGAAGGAGCGAGGAGCAGAGGGAAGGGAGGAGAGGGTAGGAAGCAAACCTCTTTTCCGTTGTAATCAGCTGAGCTTGTCTCTGTCATGCTCGCAAAACTTCCGCCTGCTCGACAAGAAACGACAGTAAGAGGAGACAAAGTGCGATAAGGGTGTGTGAGAGGGAGCCAAGCAGAGAAGAAGATAGGAGAGAGAGGAAACGAGGAGGTAGGGGCGGAGGACGAGAAACGAGACAGGAGGAAGAACGAGGACGAGGACGAGGACGAGGACGAGGACGAGGAATAAGAATAGGAGAAATATACCAATCTCGGCTTCTCCATTGTTGCCCTTTTCGGGTTTGCTGCTCGTCGACTCTGTTGAAAAAGAAAACAAGTAAGCAATCAATATTTGATCAGCAGCAGAACAAGCAAGTCTGGGATAGGAAACATGATGGGGTAGGAGAGCGGAGGAGATTAGAGGAGGAAGGAAGAGAAAGGAGATGGGAGGTGGGAGTTTGGAGGAGCAGGCAGGAGGAGTAGAAGACTACCATTATCCGCTGCTGTTGTGTCATCCCTGTATCGTCTGCTGCTTGAGGAGTCTTGAGGAGTATGTCAGACATTTGAGGAAGTGTCCGAAGGGAGAAGAAAGGAAGGGAGGTTATACGAGCAAGAGCACGAGCAAGGAGGGAAGAGGGAGATGGAAACAGGAAAGAGGAAAAAAGGGAGCAGGAGGTACAGGGAGCAAGAAACTAGAGAGTAAAGCAGAGAGACAGGAAGGACAAGCTCGCAACAAGATCACCGTCCACGGAGCTGGCAGGAGTGAACATCGCATCAGCCTCGGCACACACAGCAGAGAGCTCGTTGTTCTGCTTTTCCTGTTGGCGTGTGAGAAGGAAAATGGGAAGAGGAAGAGGAAGAGGAAGAGGAAGAGGAAGAGGAAGAGGAACCGAGAGGGGGAGGAGGAGGTAGGAGGGGAAACGGAAGAGGAGCACGGAGCCCAAGCTTCGACAGAGGAGGAAGGAAAGTTTGATCCACCATGACAAGACGAACAATCGAGGGGAGGGGGAGAGCTGGAGGCGAGGGACTCACCTGCTCAAAGGCGAGACGACTGGCGGGGAGGACAGAGCCGTCAAGCTCGGAGAGGTTGAACTCTTCTTGGGCCTCCACCCTATGAGGATTCGTGAGGAGAAGATGAAAGAGAAATGACGGAGAGGAGAAGCAGCAGGAGCAAGAAAACAGCAGGAGCAGGAGGAGCACGAGAAGAAGCAGGAGCTGCAGGAGGAGCAGCAACAGTAGGAGCAGGAGCAGGTCAAGGGCTAGGAAAGCAATGGATAGGAGGAAGAGGATCATAACTTGCCCTTACCTCTCCCAAGTTGCGCTCATCCATTTCGGAAGATTGAGCTTCTTGTCAGCGCGGAGGGGGGAGAGGGGAGGGGAAGAGATGGAAGAAGGGGAAAGAGCAGGAGACGAGGTCGGAGCAGCGTGAAGAGCATCGCCCTTCCTGGTTCCTGCCAGAGTTTCTCGTGCCAGTGCGGACAAAACTTTCTGGTCCTCCTGCAGTTGGTCGAGCTAACGTCCGATCAGGAGAGGACCAAGACAAGAGTCGTTGCTCACGCAATGAATGCGGATGGAGGTAAGCTGCGCCTCAAGCTGGTCTTGGAGGGACTTTGAAGTCTGCTGTGATGTGAGGTAAGAAGAGATGAAGGAGAAGAGGGGAGGTGAGGTGAGGAGAGGGAAGGTGAGGAGAGGAGAGGAGAGGAGAGGAGCGGAGAGGAGAGGAGAGGAGACAAGAAGACGAGGACAACAAATAGAAGGAGGGGGGGGGGGGGGTAGGGATAGAGACGAGAGCGGGAACAGGGGAAAGACAGAAAGGCTAAGTAAACCAGGCAAAGACTCCAAAATTCAACACCAAGAGAAAGAAAGTGCCAGAGAAAGACAAAGACAAAGACAAAGACAAAGACAAAGACAAAGAGAGAAACAGAGATCAGTGAAAGCAGGTCTTTACATGTGAGTTGGAAGACGGTTTGTGATTCAAAAAGTCTGCAACGACTATCAGCAAATGCTGAGATCTCGAGGCTCTCTGAACCTGCAAGATTGATCTCGGGGGTTTCACTTCTCACTTTTCTTTGAGCATTCTGCAAACCAGTCATCTCCTACACGTCGAATCGATCATGCAGATACATTGTTTGAAGAGGAGGAGAAGCTTTCGCTCTCTGAGAAATTACAAGCTCAAGAACAAAGTTGATGGCATCCAGGTCAAACCTTTGCTGATATTGTCTGAGTAGTTGCAAATCGTCATTTCCGGCAGATTGCGATGTCCTGGAACCAAAGTGAGGAATGAAAAACAATTCATGCATGTGATCATCTGGTATCATTGTCGTTGACAACCATAACAATATCGTCACCATCATTACTACCATAAACACCATCCTCATCCTCGTCCTCATCACCATCACCATCACCATCACCAAAAAGAACAATAACAAAGTATAACTCCAGCTTCATAGTCACGATCATCAAACGTACCAGATTGTGAAAACATCCAGGTTGCAATCTTAGACTGAAAAACTTGTCTGCACAAGAAAAATCATGCTTCATTCCCCGCTCTGTGTCCTCCTCCACCCCTTCATTCATCCCTCTCCCCCCCCCCCCCCTATCCTCCTTCTCTTCCTCCTTCCTTTCAAACCTCTTCTGCTCCTCCAGCTCTCTCTTCGAAATCGTTCCAGCTGCTGCTAGGGCGGATGCTGACAAACATCAGCATAAGATGTAGGTAAAGCACATTTTGCACAAGGAGCTGGAGCAGGATTAGCAGCAGGAGCAGGAGCAGGATTAGCAGCAGGAGCCGGGGAGCGGGAGCAGGAGCAGGAACAGCAATAAAAGGGAGTTTACCCGACTCGAGGATGAGGGAGAGCTCAGCTGACTGATCTCCCATGCCTGATAGAGAGACGTCAAGACAGCAGGTAAGGAGGCCAGAGACAAAAGGAGAGGAACAAGAAGAGGAAACTCGTTGGAGGTTGTGGGGGGAACGGAAGATTGAGAAATCAAAAGCAAAGGAAGTGAATGAAGAATGAGCAAAGGGGAAAAATAATGAGTAGAGATGGAAAAGTCACCAGGAGGAGGAGGAACGTCGCTGCCAGAGGATAGAGGATGCTTGGAGCAGATGGCCATGCAGTAACCTCGAGCACACGAGATCCTCTCCACTCGATTTGCGAGGCGTGAAACTGAGAAAGAGGCAGGCAGGCAGGCAGGCAGGCAGGCAGGCAGGCAGGCAGGCAGGCAGGCAGAGCGAGAAAAAGAATCAGTAAATGAGAGAAGGAAATAAGCGACTTCGTACATATCTTCTCCTGGTTATCTAATCCCTTCCTTCTCTTTTCCTCTCCTCTCCACTTGACAATGTTCTGTCCTCTAGTCTCCTCATCCTGCTCGCGAACCTTACCACCTACTTCAATTTCTACCTCTACCTCTACCTCTGCCTCTGCCTTCTCTCCCCCCCGTTCCTCACCCAGCTTCGGCTCGGAAGCGTTCTTCATCTCTGGCTCCTTCTCCTCTTTCTTCTTCCTTTCTTTCTCGTTCTCCTCCGCCTCCTGCCCCAGCGCTGTCCCCTGCCGCCACGTCACTCCCTGCTCAGCATGGCAAGACTTTACCAGCCCCCACGTGTAGAGCTGCCCGAACTTGTTGATCGCTGCCGAGTGAGTCTGCGCGCACGAAATGCCCACGATGTCCTTGAGACCTAAGGAGATAACGATGACGAGGAGCAAGGGGAGGAGGAGGAGGGGAGGAGATAAGCAGCAAAAGGAGCGCAAGGAGAAGGAGAAGCAGCAGCAGCAGCAGCAGCAGCGAGAAAGTCAGAGGTGGGCCCGAGCCAGACAATAAAAACAAAGGGGGGGAGAAGCGAGAAAGGGAAGAAGCTAGTAAATATCCCAAGGAGCCCTAAATATCCCCACAGCCCTCCGCCTTCCGCACCTGACACACAGGCTGGCTGGTAGGATGACAACTTGCTGGGCCCCAACCCCAGCTGCCCCTCCTCCCCCTGCTCTGCTCGTCAGACTCGAGAGCATCTACTTGCAGTAAACGTTCCTTGCCCCACACAAACACATCTCCCTTCACTGTCAGGGCCATCGAGTGCGTTTGCGCACAGGCGATCTAGAGAATGGAAGGTCAGCAGGGGTGCTGGTGATGAGCTGGGCAGGACCTGGCAGACAGGCTCTTCTCCTTCAATGTCGTCTTGGTGTTTACGGAAACCGAGGACTTTGACAAGTGAGCATGACAGCTGGGAAAGCAGGTGGGGGTGTACCAGCCTTGGGTGACAAACACGTGCTCTTGTCTCCATGACCGACCTGACCAAATAAGTGAGAAGAATGAGGATGAAGATGAGCAAAGAAAGTTTGAGACTAAAAAAAAAAGAACAAACTATCTTCGTATAAACCCGATACCCGTCATCATCACAATATTCGTCGTCGTCATCATCATCATCTCAATCATCATTATCCTCTCCATCATCATCATAATCATCATCATAATCATCATCATAATCATCATCATCGTAGTCGTCGCCTCATTCTTCTTCCTCTTACCTGTCCTTGGTCTCCCGTTCCCCAGGTAACAACTTGTCCATACTCGGTGACAGCCGCCGTGTGCCACGTGCCGCAGCTTATCTGAAGCCAAGATGAGAAGCGAAGGACGCGGGAGAGAAGGAGGGCGAGGAGGGAGAGGGAGAGCATGGAAGAAGATAGAAGCAAGGGGAGGAGAGCATGGGAGAAGGTGGAAAGAGGAGGAGAAGAACACGGAAGAAGATCGAACGAAGGGGGGGAGAAGGAAGGAGATAAGCAGAGAGACGGAAAGTTCGAGGAAGCAAAGGAAAGGTGGGGGAGCAAGAATGAAAAGAGCGGTACATAGTTGAAAAAATAAAGTTACGGGGATAGGAATGGAGGAGGGAAAGGAAGGGGAAAGGAGGGGGTATGTGTGGATAGGAGGGGGTCGGGTCAGCATCTATCACCGTCCATGCTCTCCCTCGCAGGCCGTGAAAGGTGACGAGGGTTGGAGAGGCTCTGAGGAAGACTTCGTGTGAGTTCTGCGACATTGCTCTCTCGCTGCTACTTTCCCTTTCCCACCACCATAGCCTCCTGCTCCTGCTCCTGCTCCTGCTCCTGCTCCTGCTCCTGCTCCTGCTCCTGCTCCTGCTTCTGCTCCTGCTCCTGCTCCTGCTCCTGCTCCTGCTCCTGCTCCTGCTCCTGCTCCTGCCCCTGCTCCTGCTCCTTCCTTCTGCCCGACCTCCTCTTCTAAGTCACCTCTCCCTGACTCGCTCACCTGTCAAGCGTATCGCCCAGCCCGAGCTGACCAGTGAAGTTGAGGCCCCACGTGTAGACCTGCAACTGGTTACATGCTGGAGGAGACAAAGGAAAGAGGAAGTGAAGGCAGTAGGACGGGGAGGAGGAAGGTGGCTGGAGGAACTGAAGGAAGAAGGAGACTGGAAATAAAAGGAGGAGGGAGCAGGAGCTTACTTGGCCTGTGTAGGTGACGACAGCAGCATGATGGGGTCCGAGAGAAGCCTGGAAGACAAACAGAAAGTTGAGCAAGCAAGAAATCGAGAGGTGAGGGAATGACAGACAGTTCAAAAAAGAAGACGTAAGGGCGGCAAAATTGAGCGAAGAAGATTCAAGAATACCAATGCGAGAGAGAGAAAATGGTGCAAATGGGTAAGGGCAAAGTCGGAGGGGGGTTGGGGGGTGGGGCGGGGAGGAGGCGGAAGTTGGAAGAAGAGGGGGGGGGGGGAGTGGGGGGAGAGGAGGCGGAAGTTGGAAGGAGAGGCAATCGAGACCTCCCAGACGCGATGCGAGAGCTCCAAGACGAGCAGGGGGATCCAACCATATGACCTCTTGCCGTCCGACGCCCACGAGATGTCTCCCCATACGTATAGGTCACCCTGAAGTCCACGTGAGGAGGAAGGAATAGGAGGGGGAGGAGGGGAAAGAAGGTACGGCACGCTAGCTCTATGAAAGAACAAGGAAGAGGAGAAACAGACGAGAGGAGGAGCAGGGAGGGGGCAATGGGGAGCAATGTTAACCTTGTCCGTGACTGCCATTGACGCGAAGTCTGAGACTGCTATCTGCCTGCGAAGCGCCACGGGTTACAAAAACAAGTCAAACAGATTCTTATCACAGACCTCACTGAAGATCCCGAGAGGTAGGAGACAGCACAAGGTTCTGAAGCAACTTTCAATTCTCCATCTCTCCTCTCCTCCTCTCCTCCCTCCTCTCTCCCCTCTCCCCTCCTCCCCTCTCCCCTCTCCCCTCTCTCCTCTCTCCTCTCTCCTCTCTCCTCTCTCCTCTCCTTCTCTTCCTCTTTCTCATTCCAATTGCACTCTTCTCCTTCATTACCATTCCGGGAAAATTCGTCACCATGGCCCAGCCTGCCTCCTGTGCCAACTCCCCATGTGTAGACCGAGCCATCGCCCATGAGAGCCGTGCCTGAGGATGAGCCGCAGGCGACCTAGTCATGCGTGTGAGGGGAGAAAGCAAGGGGAGAGGAGCAGAGAACGGACAAGTGAGAAAGATTGTAGGCACAAGGAGACAATACAGAGAAGGAGAGATGAGAAATAATCAGTGAGCGAGGAGAGATGAAACATCAAAACACGACAGATGATGCAGGAAAGGGGAGAGCCGCAGACGACAGAGCTCTACGTACTTGAACGACGTTGGTATCAAGAAAAGCTTGCACAGCTGTAGGAAACTGCACAATCTTTGCAGTCTGCAAAGACACATCAGCATGTTTGGAGTGAAATACAACTGCGACGCAATCACAACCTTGGCTCGCATCCCGAGCTGATTGTTCTGAGCATCCCCCCAAGCATACACCTAGGAATAACAGGAGCTTTCACGTGAAGACATTGACGCAGTTCAACAGACCTCCTTGATGTCTCTCATGCAGCTCTGAATCGTCTCCAGCCAAGCTCGCACTCGCTGCATGCCATGACCCCTCAGCTCTCACCGCCGACTGCCCGCCACCCTCCGTCACCTCAGCATCCGCTGCATCCAGCACGATGTGCCTTCCATGCTGCTTGCTGTCTCGACTTGTCTGCAGCTGCACCTGACGTCACTTCCGTCGGCACATCTGCCATCAGCGAGCAGACCCGGAGGCAGAAGGGATGGTTCTCCTCCGAGCACACTTGCGCAAACACAACCTCGCCAAGGTTGATACTCTTGTCGTCCTGACGTGCCGCATCGCTATCAGCCAACGAAAAAGATGGAAAAGAATCAAACGTTTCTCACCTTGTCAAGAAGGAGCCTCTCAGCTGGGGTGCTTCCTTCCCCGGCCTCTAGGTTGTGCTGCGAGAAAGTCGTCGCAATGTGAGGAGCGAGGACTGGAGAGGAGACGAGACGAGTGGAGCAACCTTGAAGTAGAAGAGCTGTCCGTTCTTGAGGACGAACCATCGGGCTGCCCACATCTGCGAGAGGACGAGTCAGCGTCAACAGGGGCAACAGCATCTGCTCACTCCGTGGCGCGATCGCTTGAGGAGGTTCCCCTCCTTGAGAGAGTCGGAGTACAGGCGGACGCTCTTCATCCGCTGCCATCGGTGTCATCCCCATCCTTCTCATGCGGCGACAAGAGGATCAGCAGACCTGGTTGATGAGTCGCAACCAGTCGATGGCCTCGTCCTCGGAGTTCACCGCTGCAACCTCCATCAGTCGCTGAAGGGAAACCGGAAGGGGCACGGGGTTACCGAAGCTCATGCTACTGTTGGATATCAAAGAGAGCGTGATGATGAATCCTGTCCATAATGGTCGATGTCTTCCCTCTATCAAGGATACGCTTGTTGCCGCTACCGTTCTCCGACATGTCGGACCTCTTGGCTGGGGCGGCAGAGACCGTTATCACTTCTACCAGGTGAGTTGTCTGCACCTGCGCCGTCTTAGACGCGATCACGTGTGCATCATTTTGCAAACTTTCGACGTCGACTTGCTCTCTTGCGATCTCTTGACCATTAACTTGTCCGCCTTCAAGGTCAACTGCGCTGACACCTGCCCGATAGTTATTACCATCTGAACTGGTCACGCTGTGTTCCCGCACCATGGTGTTGGTTGCTGGCTTCAGGACCAACACCTGAGGGACAGTGTCACAAGCAGGAAGTGAGATGATAATGCCACTTGCAACCTCTCCCTCCCACTCGGGCAATGAATCTTCGGATTCTGACTGCTTCTGGTACGATGCTAAACCACAAACTCACGGATCGTTGGGACTTGCAGGGCTACAAACCTCGCATCAGCTGTGGCGTCATGTACGCGACTCCCTTCATGAGCCCTCCGGAGCTAGCATGGTGAGTGAGAAGATTGAGGCAGAACAGGCACGACAGACAACATTGGGTTCAGAGCTTCGTTGGCAGTCATCATCTTACTGCCTCTGGCTTTCGTGTCCTGCACGAACCGAATTCAAACATGAAAGATTGGGAGGGAAGACAAAAATTATCAACCTGCACAGGGGGGTTCTTCAGGAAGTTGTTCAGCGTTGATGTCCTCGCCTTGGGACAGATTTTAGATACAATTCCGCATACCAAAGCAACAAAGATCATACTGTTGTGTCTTTTTTCTTTCCATCCAGTTCTCTTGAGCTGTTGGACATGGTCCTTTAAGGTTAAGTCAGCGGAGAACGAAGATCAGCATCAGTTCTTTTATGTTGCCCACGATGCAGAGGCTGTTTTCAAAGCGTGCTACACTCTCAATGACAAATCATCTACGACGACCACCTCATTGAACTGAAGCTCGTCTACGTCATCGGCATTGCCTCGCCACGTCTCCATCAAATAAAAGACATCGACCTCCACTATTGCCTTCTCTTCATCGCATGCCACCATCATGCGGCCCCTCCCTCTCCCCTGCTTCAACCCCCGCCTGCCATGGGAATCGGAGGACTAGCGATGGGGGTGTAGAGAAACATTACTCAATATATATAAGAAAAGAATTAGTATGAATCCGTGTTTAGCCTAGGCGGGCCCGATTATCACTTAAGCAGCTGAGGCGGGCTCTTTGATCTCGATTGCAGTTCAACCGAAAGGACCCACCGGAGGTGTCGTGGATATTTTACTGGTCAAGACCACCCCTCCGTCCCTGCTCCTCCCCCCTCCCAGCCTCCTCCCACGTGGAACCAGGCTTTCCGTTCCTCTCCTTTCGGGTCGGCAGGAGCTTCCCTCATGCAGATCTCAGCTCCTAGTGTCTGCTGCTCACTGTCCTTCAAGTCCTCTTCTTCTCTCCTCTCTGATTGATTATTTTCTTCTCCTCCTCCCCACACTGGTCACTAACAGCTCTTTTTTTTTCAGTCGCGGTTGCGTTGTACTACTGCTTCTTGGCGTCTGCACAAGCTGAGTGTATTGTTACTTGTTTGAGCTGCTGGGGTCTGGCGTATTCAAGCTAGTGTCTTGTCCTCGTGTGAGCTGGCTGTGTTGCCACAGCGTCCCCTGTTAGTTTTCTTCGAATTGCAACCAGCCATGTTGGATGGCGCCGCCTGCCAGCCGGGGTTATCTAGCGAAGATTCTCTTTCAGCCCAGCTATCATTCGCTTCAAAATCGCTGAACAACTCGACCAAACGGTTGATAGAAGCATGCAACTCAGTGAAGGAACTGCAAGGTCATCTAAAGAACATGAACTTCATGGATATAACAGCTCAGTGCAAGACCACTGGAGCAGAGTTCTCACTGTCCGATGCATCAAGCTCACTGGACAACCTCAAGTCTCGAGTACAGTCCCAGAAAGAAGGGGCGGGAACAGCACCTGCTGTCGTGAGGACATGGCTTCCGCACCTTGATGGAGAAGAAGCTGATTTAAAGGAACAGGGGTCCGTCAATCTCGTCAGGACCTGGTTGGGAGCAGTGTGACCAGACTGTTATTCTGGCTGCAATTGATTAATCCCAGTGAGCATGCAGCTTTCTTGGGAACAGACCTCATGGCTGGTCTCCCGTTACGCCAGAACAGTTGAGGTGTTCACCAGTTCATCGTATCATATCTGCTAGCGACTCGTCTTGGCTGGCTCTTTTCTAGTTTACAAAGAATTATGAAAACCTTACCCTCTTTCTTGCCCGCCCCTCACCCGATGATGCCCGATGTTTCCCGCGTGGATTGCTATGCAGAAGGCTATCCATTAGCTGGGTGTTGAGGTATTCTTCAAAACAAGAAATGCGCTCGACCAATTTCCCTGTCGAAATCGATTCGTTGAAAAGAGCAAGAGAGGTCAGGTTGTTGATGAACTTTGAGAGTCTCCGCTCCTGGGGATATGTAACCAACCATCTCCATTCCTCCTGCTCATCGTAGAACTCAGACATTTTGATGGTCAAATTTCGACCAGCAGGAGGATCGTCTGACAAGCTTGCATTAAAATTTCTCTTCGGAATCATTCCAAATGCCTCATAAACACCACGAGGCCTGAGGTCCAGGCCCTCCCACTCGCCCCGCTCAAGTCTCTCAACGCACGTCTCGTTGATCCCGTACCACGAGCCAAGCTCCCCAACGGCTCCTTGCGGGAGTTTCAGTGTGACTTTGAGGTCGATGTTCTGCTCAGCAGCAGAGGCATTCAGCTTCTCAAAGTCTTCATAATCGGGCATGAAGTCGGTCTTGGAGCACTCCAACCCGTGCTCTTGGAACAGCCGATCGAGCTCGGGGTCAGAGGCTCTCTCGATGAGGGGAAAGCGTATCCCATCCTCATCCGTCTCTTCCGAGCCTTGCTCTGCTAGCAATGGATCTTCTACTCCCAGGCTCTCCAAGTATTCAACGACTTCCTCCTGCTTGTTCAAGCGTGCCCATGACAGAGCCGAAGCATTCATATACATCCCGCTGTCGGCAATGGCATGCACGTCTGCCCCTGCCTCCTGGAGTCTTTTGACCATGTCGACGCTCCCAGACATAGCAGCAAAGTGTATTGGACGATGACCAGAGGCTCCTGCGGCGTTGGGATCAGCTTCCAGCTCCAGGAGCGTCTTGACCACCTCGTCGCGACGCATGAAGCACGCGAAATGCAACGCCGTGAAGCCCTCCTCGTCCGGCAGGTTCACATCAGCTCCTAGCGAGACCAGCTTGAGGGTGGAAAGGACTCTCCCTGCCTCAGCGGCGCATTGCAATGGCGTCTTGTTGATGAAGTGCGTACAGCCGTTCACGTCCACCCCGCTCTTTACAAGCTCCTCGATGGTGGTCAGGTTCTCATAGGTTGCCGCCATGCAAAGACTATCGATGCGGAAGTAGTTCGGATCTGATTCCCTGCTCCTCACTCTGCTAGCCTTGTGCGGGTAGTCTGCACCTCCTGATCCGGACACGCTCCCCTGCAGCGAAATTTTCGTGGGGCCCGAGCTTTGCTCAGCTTGTCGGAGCGGGATGAGTCGCACCTGGTCATGATGGGAGGGCAGCACTCCAGCAAGGCCATGGCTTGCGAGAAGAAGAGCAGAGAGTAGGGTCCTCGCCTTCGCCATCGATGTGCATGCGCTATCATGGGCCTTGATACGCCATGGTCCTGCCCCGTCGTTTGCGACGTCTGGTCTTTTCTCGCGCTGCCCTCCATAGTACTTTTGCTTCAAGGTATTTAGTGTTCTAATAATTTATTGCTGCCTTTCTGGCTTCCATCAGCCAGATTTGGCGAATATGTAGAAGGGGGGGGGAGGGAAGAGGACAAAGATCTGACTGCGGTGACTGCGACGAGGACGGGAGCGCATGAGAGTAATAGTCAGCATGGTATGTGCAGCAGGAGGAGAGGGGTGGAGGAGAGGGCAATGAACGTTTGCCTCTTGATCATAATGTGCTGTCAAAGGTATCTGACGGTGCTTTGTCTTCAGCATCATTGAATTCTGGCCATCATGCGCGTTGAGGTCTTGAGGGTCTAAGGAGGAGGAGGAGGAGGAGGCTGCGTCGTTCATCCGCCATGGGGATCTTCTGGTCCAAGAAGAAGGTCTACTGGGTCCCTCCCCACCGCAAGCTGGAGGATCTGTTGGAGGACAACTCAAAATGGAAGCAGACCATGGACATGACGGGGTGGCAGCTTCAGAACTCAGTGCAGGACAAGCTCGGAGACGTCATGTCGAGCATCAAGACAACAGTGGAGATCAACTTGAGCTACAACGGCATCGGAGACGACGAGTGCGAGCAGCTTGCCAAGGTGATCAAGCAGTCCAAGACCGTCAAGAGGCTCATCTTGGAGAACAACCACATCCACATGAAGGGAGCCCAGGTCCTCGCCGCTGCTCTCACGCCAGAGACGGGCAAGGACGACCCCGCGCTGGAGGAGCTGAACCTGAAGAACAACGGCGTTGGGAGCGAGGGAGCGACGGCGATCGCGCAGGTGCTGACGAGCAACAAGAACCTGAAGCAGATCAATCTCTACTGGAACAACATAGGAAACAGCGGCTTGCAGGCCATATGCCAGAACTTGCGCAATGATTTCCCGAAAGACTTCGTCCTGGTACTCCCTCCTCGTCCGATTCCCCCCTCCTTCCATCCCCTCCCCTCTTCCATCCCCCTCCTCCTTCCATCCCCCTCCTCCTTCCATCCCCTTCCTCCTCCCTTCCCTTCCTGACTTTGCACTTGTCCTCTCATTCTCCCTCACCTCTCATCACTTTCCTCCATCATACGCCTCTTTCCTTGGCTACCTTGCTGTTATTCCCTTTGCTTGTTCAACCTCCTCTCGCTGTATCTCCTGCTGACATCACACTCAACATTCTCGTCCTCCTCTCACCCTGCTGCTTGCTCCTCTCACCTCTCATTGCAGGACATTCGATACAACGGCTTTGACCGCACTGACAAAAGGTAACTTGACACTTCCTGTGATACACAAACTCACGCTTTACAGCGTCAACTGGACAGAGATGGAGAGCAAAATAAGGAGGTGACAGCTGCTGTCTCGCCTTCCTCCCTCCGCCTCCCCTCGACTCCTTTCTGATGCTCCTCCCTGCTGATCCTTTTGAGCAGCTCCCGCCTGTGTTTGACGGCCAAAGGCGTCGGCCCCAAGCTTCTCGGTTGGCCTCCGTTTTGACCAGCCTCTCCCTTCCTCATCGCATGGGTGTAAGCGGCAAGGGCTGCGAAATGTAGGAAAGATTGGGGAGAGGAGATCAGGGAGACTGTAAAAAGGAGAGAAGGAGATGGGAGTTTTTGGCGGGATAGTGATATTTGTATAATGTGACACGTGAACGACGAGTTCGGTAGACAAACATCTAATATTTCAAGATTGAAACATTACAAGTAAATGAGCCGCTAGATTGCCGGAAACAGTCTACTGCATTGCATTTCTCGGGGTAAAGACGAACTTCATATCAAACTTTGTCATCTGCCACAACATTAGAAAACCGTTGAGAAGACCATAATGATGGAAAGAAGAAGGGAAGGATGAGAAGAAGGGCAGAGAAGAGCTCATGTGTGCAGGAAGAAGAGGATCAAGAGATGACCTGCTTTCGATCCTCCTGTTAGTCTGCATCCCATCTTGGCGGAAGGGACATAGTTAAAGCTGGAAGAGATGAACAACTTGGTGTGCGCGTGGATGGTGGGGACCTGCAGAACTTCAGGCGGGAAGAGGAGAGGGGAGGAGCTGCTCACCACAAACAAGAAGAAATCAGCGAAAGGGAACAAGAGCAGCTGCAGAGCTCTCGAGAAAACTCCCATGTGATTGGGCGAAACCTGCGGACAGGGTCAGGGAGGACGCCAGGCTTCGCGACCGAGTACTCACGTCGAAGTAGAGCCGATCCTTGAGGACTGAAGTGCGGAGAGAGTAGTCGGAAAAGCACATGAAGATGTAGTGGAAGATACAGTGCACCACCCAAGTCCAGATCATGACATCCTTGAGGGCGACAAGGTCCTGCTGCCCGGTGATGAAGTCGAGGTTGAACAGAACAGGGATCTTTCCGTAGAGGAAGGGAGCTGTGATCAGCGCCACGCACATCACAACCACCAGCAGATGATGGTCGTAGGCCGTGAAGAGCAGCGAGATCCTCTTGGCTAGCGGCACCTTCCAATTACACACGCTCTGGACCAGAAGGTAGCCGAAGTCGACGGCTCCCCATTGCCACCTGACCGACTGGTCGTAGCATTCCTTGACCGTGTCGAGGTAGCCCTTCCCCTCTACTGCCTCCGTCCCGACTGTGATCATCATCCTTGTGCACGCCACCTTCCCATGATCGGCAAACACGCAGCGGAAGTACATGTGCCAGTCCTCGGGAATGACTGAAGGGTCCCAGTAGCAGGCACGCTCTGCCAACCTCAGCGGAAGCGAGTAGATGGCGAGGGGAAAAGGGTTTGAGATGGGACAGCCGAGTTCCGCCATACGTCCGATGCTCAGCACTGTATACCTCGTGGAGCAGATCCCCGGGACGTGACAGACATTTGGCATGAAGTTGGTCACTGGGATGTAGAACCGATGATAACGATTGTCCCCGTCACAGATGAAGTGATGAGTGAGGCAGGCAAACTGATTCGGATGGAAGAACGTATCAGCATCGCACGTTGTGATCACGATGTAGTCGGGGTTGATACGCATCCTGTCCACCATCAGCTTCTTGACGCATCGTGCCGCCCAGTTCTCGTTGGACGACTTGCCGGCGACTTCTCCTTCCTTGACTTCATGGATGGCATAGCAAAGACCTCCCAGCTTATGGGCGTACTCCTGCTGGAGGATTTCAGCCGTCTCCTTTGCCTTGGGGTCTCGGGCCTCCATGGCCATGCAGACCACAATCTGCTTGGCGATGGACTGATAGGCAATAGTGTCCAGCGTCTGCCTGAGCTTCACGAGCGGTTCCTTGTAGTTGGGAACAATGACTGCATGCCAGACCGCATTGAAGTCCAGGGAACCAAGAGGTCTCTTCTGCTTCTGCCAGTAGTCGGGAGCACGAGAGTCGTACTTCTGCAGCAGGTTCAGGCCATGAAAAGCACTGGCCCACATGATCCAGAATCGGATGACTCCATAGAGCATGAAGAAGCCAACGATGCTGACTGCGATGTCCGGCCTCTGCATCAACAGCCAAACATGCCCAAAATAGATGAAGAAAGCAAGAGTCGTGTATGTGTGGATGGCTGGCAGTCTTGCAAGGATGGAGTAGGCAGTCCTCTCCACACCTCCACAACAGGCTTCTGAGTTAGCCTCTTCTGTTTCGCCATCAATGAGTAACCCATGTGCAGATTGCGTCACAGTTGCTTCTCTCAAAGTGTGGCCCTCTCCTGCAGGAAACCTGCGTTCATCCTTGACAAGCGAGTTGGTTGAAGGAGGAGCTGTCAACAGCGCAAGCCCACCCAGAAGAGGGGTCCGCTCGCATCCGCTTGAAGCGGATGCATGCCCTAAAACAGGTATGCGTCAAGAAATAGATACATTCATGATGATCCCCACTCTGCAAAATGAAACATCACAGATGAAGGCCGGAGGCAACAACCAACGCTGTGATGCAACATCTTTCTCTTAGGAAAGCAGCATCCCCCTCACCCACATCTCATGATATCTCGTGACACCGCACTTAACATCTCGCCGGCACTGCCGTGCTGCTCTATCCTCAGACTTACCATCTTCCTGCATAGCCGGCGCCATCACCGCATCCTCTAAATCGGGCAGCAACTCGGAATCGTTAAAATACTTTATTACCGCGACCGTTACACTACAGTTTTTCCTGGCGGCCGCCCGCACCGCGGCCGGGCCCGGCCCGCCCGTCACCAGGCTAAGATGACTCCGATCGCGGCTCGGATCGGATCGGACGCACGCGGCCAAGTTCTGGGTGGTCGGCCCCCGGCGCCGTGCACGCCGCGCGCCGGCCCGGCCGGCCCAGACCGTACAGTGTCAGCGGGGGCCCCCCGTCACGGCGGTGCCCGGCCCCCAGTGACACGGCACCGTCACGGTGACTCGGCAGCGCCGGACTCCCGGAAGGCCGTCAGTGCTCGCCGGACCGGGCTGGCGACCGTTGCCACAGTGGCAGGCTTCCGATTGAATTGATTTACTGATTACGAAGTGGCCGGTCGTCATCATCCGACGATCCGATCATGGCCATCGGAGCACGGTACCGGGCCGACTAACATGATCCGCCACCGTCTCCTCCTCCGCCACCGCCGTCTCCCCCTCCGCCGCCGCAGTCTCCTCCTCCTCCTCCGCCGCCGCCGCCGCTGTCCCAGGATCCTCCCCACCAGCCGGGTTCTCCAATTGAAACATTGAAAAAGTAAGCACCGCCATTCAAATTAGGGTCATTGCTTCCTTCCCGGCGGCGCCCCCTGCCAAAGCAGCTCTTCTTTTTGCGCTCCTGCTTCTTTACCGGCTCCTTCACCGGCTCAGGCTTCACCGGCTGCTGGAACGGCGGCTGGAACGGCGGCTGCGGGTTCCCTGCATACTGCGATGCGATATAAAGGTGAGAGACCAGCAAAAAAAGATGGAGAGGCTTGCCAGAGGTGAAGGAACGTCATTCTGCATGAAGGCTTGCTGTTGGGGGTATGGAATCCCATTCTGCATGAAGGCTTGCTGTTGAGGATATTGACTCTCATTCTGCCTGAAGGCTTGCTGTTGGGGGGGTTGACTTTCAACCATTGTAGCTTGAGGAGCCTCCTTTAAGCTGTAGAAACCCATATAAGTTTTGAAGAGATTCATCGACAACACCTTCAAGGTGTATGAGCTTGAGTTTACCTATTACGTCGCTTTTGCATGTAACAAACGAACCAGACGAGGGCAAGGAACGCCACCACTGTTCATATCGTTCAGTGTTGGAAAGAGCATGGCTATTATTGCAGTTACCTCCAGCGACAACACCGCAGATCAAAGCGACACTAGGCTTAGCAACGCAGTCGCATGGCATCTTGCAGTGGTTGATTGGGCATCTACCGTCGGATAACAACGGATTCAATTTCCCGGTGTCGCATTCCTAATCACACGCACAGGACAACACAAAGAAAAGTTAGTGCACATGTAACAGTAGAATCTCCACCGAGTGCCCAACATAGACTTGATATCTTGCTATGAACACAAATCTCCTTCATCTCAGAGCATGCATATGCCTTAAAAGATAGTCTCATATTCATCTTGTGTGAATGAGAAAACATCACGAGCGATGATGGAAAGGTGTAGACAAAAGCCTGTTCAGCATCTTTCCATGGAAACGGCGGATCAGCAGCATCACAGCTCGTATGTGTCTTGATCGCTGACTCCCGCTCTCTTCCCGCGCTCCTTCCTCCGCTCCCCTCTTACCTTGCATTGGACCGCCATGATGCAAGGATTCCGAACCTACTCTGAACCCCTGAGTGACCGCGCCGGGGTTATCATATAGTAGTGCACAAGGCCATTATAGGCTCAAAGTAAACAAACTGGTACTAATAAATAGTCACTAATAGTACCAGTTACCACCAGGTAGGCTCAATTTGTATCCCAAAGTTGCCGGGGAAAGATAGGTAGGGTAGAAGGATTTCTGGCGGGGGAATTTTTGTACCGGCCGGAGTCTTTACTCAAAGTTAAGTGGAGGCGTGTCAGTTAATTTGGCATTTGAGTTGAGATTTGAATTCAGATTTGAATTCAGATTTGAATTCAAGTGACTCAACTCATAATAAAAAGTGAGGCCGCGGCCTCACCGCTGATTGTAGATTTTACAACACTGCAGCTTCTTGAGATCTCCAAAAACACATCGTTTCTGAAAAGGCTGATCAAAAGCTTGTCATCGATTCCAAATTTCGTGGTAAGCGAGCTCCAAACGCTACATTTTTGCCCCATGTGTGCCATGGCATCCTCGTGATCACATAGATTTAGCCTTGTGACATGTCAGCATATCTCTTTACAACTAATGCTCCCCCTGAACATCTTCATTTCGTGGCTCATTCCTCACATTTCGGGGACCCCTGCTCGTGCTGGCTGTGAAACCCCTGCATCGCCATTCCTTTCCACTCCCTGCACTCTCGCTCCCCTTCTCCGATCCTTTCCCCTCACCACCTCCTGGGTTCATAGACTTTGTTCCAATTACCTGTCCTTGCTTCGCGTTCTCTGCTCGACGAGAAGAATCCCTAGCATTGCTCATCGGTACCCAACAGGGTGCTTTCGACAACGTATTCCGTATTTAAAGGCCTTGCCACGAATGGAGCATGATTCATCAGATGATGTCATCTCTATGTCATCCTTCGATCGAACTCCGTTGTCAAGATGCTATTCTGAAACTCAAAATCCTGACTCAAGATCCTCTTCCGATGCTGCTTCGTCGTGGATCAGCGAATCAGTCGATTCGTCCCTCCATCCTAGCTTTTCATATCAGATGCTCATGCAGTGGTCAAGCTTCTCTGATTGGAAAAAACATAAGCTTCGGGCACTCAGTCACTCGATGGATGTCATCCAAAAAGCTATGACTGAGGCGCGCGAGGGCGAACTAGCAAAGCTGCCTTCGTTGGAAAGTTTAAGGAAAGACTAAGCCGCATGATTAACAGCCACTGTGCAGCACTGTCCGACATATCTTCGCAATGTTTTCCTTGTGTACTTTACTTTCGAATATATTTCCTTTACATTCGTTTCTATCCAGAAGGTTCTCGAGACCGAATCATCTTGTGACTGTTGTTGAGCGCGAACCAACCAGACAAGCTGAAACTACTTCAATAAGCTAGTTGGACACCTTGATCACTTCAACTTCCATAAGAAGATTCTCGTCAAAACGTCTTGATAGTTTTCTCTTGGCCTGCAAAAATAAAGTAAGAGGTTCGTTCCACGACATCGTAAGCTTGGCACACCTGAAAAGTGGCTGGAGAGGGAACACGGAAATAGTCGAGACATGTTTCTGCTTCCGTGACGGCGCCTCCGGGTAGCCCGACGGCAGATCCTATGTCAACACTCTTTACACATGATGCATCTTCAAGTTTCCAGCCCCGCTCGGGCTTAACTGAAATTCTTCGTAGCCCTCCTTGTTTCATGCCAGGCAAGGATGAGCTCAACGCATTGATCAGGTTTGCTTCACCAACCACAAATTTCAACGTGTCTGTCTCCTTGTCATCATCCTCGCCGTAGCCATAGCTAAAGACCAAGCTAGCTTCACCACTCAGCCCATCCCTTGATCTCTTTCCCAACCTCAGCACTCGATACTTGATTTCAACCTCAGAACCTGGTTTTACCTCTGCTCCTGTTCCTATTCTTACATCTCGGTAGCGATCACCCTCCTTAGTCACAGAAAAATTTCCATCTTGCTTATCGAAAAGTGTTGCTTCCCTCTGGGCCCCGTACTCTTGGGCTTCCTGTATGTTTGTGATTTTCTTCGTTGGCAAATCTTTCTTCTTTCCGAAGTCAGGTGGAGGTGCAATTCCCTTCACTAGAGCTTGTGCATTCGGAGGAAGATTAAGGGTGAGCATCAATCCGCCACACATCGAAACCAAGTCGGCCCTTGTGAATGTCGTCCGATCCTTCATCCTCAAATTATGCTGTACTCCACTTTCACAGCACGATCGGCTCGTCCTCTGCATTCTTGCAGGTGCAGGCGAAAAGCCAAAAGAGTCTGCGTAGGGGAGGCACAGCAGCGCCATAACGACACCAGCTGCAGCGGCTTCCTTCCACCCCCTCGTTGCCATGGGCGGCTTTAGATGTTCCGACGTTCACAGTCTTTGGGCGAACGACGAGAAGTATACCACTGCCCAGGTCATTTACTAACAAATTAAGTGAGGCAGACTCTTTTGTTTAATCACACATATTTCAGTCAACTTTTATTTCTATCATAGGCTTGTCCGAGTCAGTCCAGGACAACACCCGGGTGACTCGCGGCTGGGTACTGACGCCGGTAGGGCCGGGCCAGGCTAAATCCGTCGGACGGTCCGGCAGCTCTGCTTCGGAGCGGAAAATGTCCCTAAAGGAGAGGAGGACGACACTGCCAGCAAACCGCCGAGTCCGATCACAGTGAACGAGCTGCCTAGTGATGCGGATTCGTAGTACTGAGTTCGGAAGAAAGTTTGTGAGTGACAGTGAATTTTGAGCATGTTTGCCATGAGGAGTGATGAGCTGAATCGTGCTAGAACAGAGGAGTTCGAGTCTAGTGCCACTGGTAGTACGCCTCGATATGGCGGGTTGCGGCGGTAAATCATACTTCAAATTCAGTAGAGTCACTCGGATTCGAACTGAACAAGTTTGTCTTGATTATAGATACACAGCTAGATTGTGCTTGATATATTGGGGGGTGACAAACAAACACTAAAAAGAGTATGGGGACTCGATGCAAAAGCATCCTTTCTGTGCAAGCAACATGATGTACGTTCTTTAGAAATTCTGTGAGTTTGCTACTTTTGATTCAACAGCATCATCTGATGTCGTTATGATATTTTCTCAGAGTTATATTCGCAATTTCCCTCTTTTGCCACAATCACAGAATATGTGGATATGACGGACTTTGTTGCACCTCAATCTGCATCAAGAATTGTTCTCGCAAAAACGAGTTTCGATGCTATCTCAGCACAACGCAACTTTTCTTAGCAGCATCGATTCATCATCATACAAAGAAATATTTTTGTTTGGTTATTTATGATACAGGGCTACTTATCGTTTACATATGGGAAACAACAACAGCGTTATGGAATGCTGCGGTCCATGCACAGTTGTACGAGACAAGGTGGGTGAAATTGTCATTTTCTATACATGGAATATTTACAAAATGATCTGAAACAGAAAAACACGTTAGATATCGACATGGAAGACCAAAAAATGCAGGATCCATTTGAAACAAGTTTCGATGGCATAGATCACAGTTTGCTATCCAACAGTGCCTTCCAAGGTTTTCACTCTGCAACATTTGTGTTTTTTGACATATGTATCCAAGAGAGCAGGGAACGGAAGCAAGGCGGAGGGTTTTCATTCGGTCAAATGACAAGACAGGTTTGAGCACTATTTCCTTCTCAACTTTCAAATGTAATGTAAACATGTAGGACTATTTTCTCCTGTACGATGCAATTCACTCACTTGTACGATCCAGAAAAATCTCCAAAGAAGAGGTTTTTGTAAATGATTGCAACCCCAAAAGAGAGATGTTAACTGATCTGTACGATGAATGCCAAAAACAGGAAAACAAACTGTATGACCTCATTGGAAAACAGGATCCGGCCATAGCTATGGCATTTCAAGTGCGACTCAAGTTTGTGTATTGCTGCCACAGCCTGATAGTTGAATTTTACAGAAGTATAAGGTGTCAGGCGATACAACAAGCCTTCAAGAAATTGTATAACAATGAAACTTTACTTCCGTGACAGTTGACTTCGTCACCCTACTGTGACACGTGCTCATTGCTCCACATGACTTTACCGTATAGACCCTGCCAGGCTTGAGCCTGGCAGTGACTGGAAAGGGCGGGCTGGTCACTGAGTCACAAGTTCCGAAGTTCAACGCCGAGTCATAAGCCTGTTTCAAAAGATGCCGGGCCCCCATAACCATACTACGGTACTGTGACTTGGGCCGCCAACGCGGCGGGCCGGGCCGCGCCCCGGCTAGATAGTACGGTCCGATCGGCCCCGGCGGGATCGGACCCGGGCCGGGTCGGGGCCGCCGTGCCAGTGGTGACTGTCACAGTGTGAAACGGTCACCCGGCCCGGGCCCGGTACCGCCCGGCCCGGCCGGGCTGCGGCCGCCCCCCGGTACCGTCGCGGCAGACCGTACAGTACGGTGTATCACCGGGCCCGGGCCGGCTGGGTGGCAGCGGCCGCTGGCCGCGCCTGCGGCAACGCCGGGCGTTGACCGATCACGGCCCTGAATGGCCACTGAGGAGCCGGGCCCCGGCCGGGCCGGGCCCCGAGGCTCGGAGCAACAGCGGCGCCCGGCCGGGCCACGGCGATCAGATGCATTAGTCGCCTGACTGATCGGACTGTAGGGCCGGGCCCGGTCCGGGGGTAGTCAGGCTGTGACGGCAGTGGCAGCACGCCGCCTCAGACCGGGGCTACATCGGTACTTTACCTTTACTGGTACTACTAGTCTCAGATTTATTTCCGGGGGACCACACCGATGCAGCGAGCCAGTGGTGCTTGGGTAGGGTAGGGTCACCTCCACAGTACAGATAATGGCTCAAACCACCCAAAGTCTGGGACAACAGGGGGGTAGGGTCCATCAGATTCAGGCGTGGGGGCTGATGGGGTGGTCGCAGTTCCGACAATAATTGCCAGGACGGTAGCTCTGCGTCAACAAGAGGGTGGGGTCAGGCTAGGATGGGGTCTTGTTGAGCCATGCACGAGGGAAATGGGAGGGTAGGGTCATTTGAGTTGCTGAAACAGGGATGAAGTGGTGGAGTATGGCAAATGCTGGCATATGATGTAAGAGCGGAGGAAGAAGTGAAACAGAGCCAACTTGGAAGTACAGGAGCCAGCGATTTTCCAACGCGAATACATACCATGCCGAAATATCTGGAACAACATGCTGATACCTCTGAGTCGGGAGATACTGATACTCAGCAAATTTCTGTGCGCAAAACCATGGCCATCGTGAGGAGACACAATTTGCAGCTGCTCTTCGTTGCTGTAGTGTTGCAGGTACAAATGATGGGTGTTGAGAGTCAGTCGTCTTGTACAAGCTCGTCTTGCAACCCAATGACCTTACCCTGCGGGAAAAATTTGAGGATATTAACTCATTACTCTGCTCCATTCGTCATGTTTGATGCTAGTGAGTACTGTCAATGTTTGGAAGCAGAGTTAAAAGGTTTTTTTCAGCACTTTGCAACAAACAAAAATGCCCCCCTATTGCATTTGGATGCTCAGAGGCAAATCTCAGCTCATGCAAGAATGGTGGACTGACATATTATTTTGTATGTTCTGTGAACAGAGATGTTGTATTAAACCTGACATTACGTTCAGGTCAATCGATATTTGAAAGAACAGTTGAACACACAGTGCCAAGTAAGCTGTGCAGAAGATGCCATCGTTCTGAGAAACTGAACTCTCTTCTCAGGAACTCAAACTTTCCAACTCGACTTTCGAGTGGTACATCGCGTCAACGGATATGTGACAAGTAATCGAAACCAGCGCACAACCTAACGGAGCTATGCAGTTCCTCTGATAACCTCATCGTCAACATTTTGTGTGATGGACGTTTCAACTTTACAAGTGAGACGCCGCCGCTTCAGAATGGAACGGTTAGGAAAAATGCATCAGTGCATTAGCATTAGAGTTCATGTAACCCAGTGCACTACAGTGCCCCTCCGCCCTACTAGGAAATCCAGGATATTATAAAGGACCTAGCCCATTGTCTACATGTACTAGCATTGACGACAGTAATTCTTTTCTCTGCTCGCCGTTTTCCTCTCTTGACTCACTTATTAACAGAATCTTGTGTCAGTCCTGGGCCGGATATGGCAAGTGTCAACTCTCAAATATGCCCAGCCAAGGCATTAGCTGACAAAGATATTTCTTTTAGATCATCGGATCCGTTCAAATCACTCTCAACCGATTGGCTCTACTGCAGTTCTCTTCACCGTAAGTCCTCGCTGTAGTACCAGAAAACGATAAAACGATTGTGAGATGCGCACAGATACGCTACGATACAGCAGGCACTTGTGACCAAACAGAGTGTCCCGATTTACGTCTTCAGAGACATCGGCACCAACATGTACAACATATTTGGTCCCTTCGACGTGTTTTTGTGGATTGGTATTGTTGTCGAATGCTGCATTATTTGGATTCTATTCTTAATCATCGAAGTAAGTCCTGCCGTTCTCCTGTCGCTCTTTCTGAGAGCTTTTGGCTAGGCGCCTGTGAATCACGGCATTGCCAAAGGATTAAACTCATTTCCAGACACGTTTTACTGGGTCTTTACGACCTTGGTAGGGGGTCCAGACAAGGCGCCTGAAACAACAGGAGGAAAATGGATATTCTGCGCTCATACCCTGTTTTCGATCATCATCGCAGCTACTTACACAGGAGCTGTAGCCGCGTTCTTGACATCTTCTGCTGGAGCAGCACAACTGAACGACTTTTCGAGCCTTGAGAGTGGAGCGTTCACGACAGTTGTGGTGGGGCCAGCATGCCCAGACACGGCATCGTGGTCAGCCAATTGGCGAGGGACGTACAACGGGGGAAATAGCAAATACTCCTGCAGCTCAACAGGGAGCGTACAGGTGAGAGATAGGTGAGAATGTAACTTCCTTCCTTGATCGTCTGTGCAGTTCGAATACTTGCAACTGTTGCAGAGGTCTTCCAGCTCCATCAGCTTCTCCATTTTCACCACGTCGGGGCTGTTCTCCAAGTATGCCAATGGGCAGACCTTGATGTACAGCAAGACGGTGGATCCCTGCTCTGTCAAGGGTACAATCACGTTGAGATTCTTTCGTGCTGCTGACTCCACGCTGTGCAGATGCTCAGTTGGGAGCCTTTGACATGGTCATGTGCGGGATCAATGGGTCTGCTGGACCAGATTCCATGTTCGCCAATGGCCCATCTGTGGTATATGAGCTGACAAGGAGGTTCAAAGAAACTGGAAGGTGAAGTAACAGCCTCAACCTCTTCTGACGAACTCACATCAACCTTACCATCAGCTGTCTTTTGGCAACCAAAGGTTCGCAGTTCAATCCAAGCGGTCTTGGAATTGGCTTCCCATTCAATGGAGAACTTCAGATACCGTGAGATGGAACTATTACAACAAGATCTGAGTGACGCAAGGCTTTACAGGTTCTCTGTAGCGGTGCTGAACGCCTCTTCGAATGGACTGGTAGAGAATCTCATGGCCGAATTCAAAGTCAGGAATGTTGATAATCCATGCGTATATGTGGATCCTGGAAAGGGAAAGACTCTTACCTTGCCCGAGATGTCTGGATTGTTCGTGATTACTTTTGCTGGATTTCTAGTCGCATTTCTCCAGGCAATCTTCGAGCGATACTTCTATGACAAGGAGTTGAAACAGGAGCAAGAAAGGATGGAGTTGGAGAATGCTGAGATGGATGTCGTTGAAGAGTGTGAGGTTGAAGCATCGGAAGCACCCGCATCTCAAGCTTCAGAAGATAGCGATCTGACAGTAGAGAAGATGCATCATGAAGAGCACAACTTAGATTATGGTGAGGTCAACGAATACCTAGACGATGTGAGTGTCTCAGAATTTTTCGAAACATGTTTTGATTCTGTTTTGAACAGTTGATCCAGCAGACTAACAGAATTAAGGCTTTGGCTCAGAAAGTGGTTGAACAACGAGAAAGAGACAAAAACGAAGCAAAGAACACAACAGAAAACGAGCCTCAAGCAAATGGCCACAAGACAATGGACTGGGCTGGGTCTATAGCAAATGTTTTCTCTAGAACAACAGATAGTTAATGATTGGCTTATTGTTATCAAACGCCTTCAGTTTCCTCTTTGAAACAAGCTCTTGACAGCTCCAGCGCTGATGGCAGGATGATTTTATCGATCTTGTAGACTATTCCATTTTTCATTCTCTTGAACTTCAACCCTTCTTGACTGACTCCTATGGAAACGATGAGCAGCAAGTCCTCAAAAAACTTCACGATCACTCACCCAGTCTTCCAAATACGTCCTCCAATCGTATTTTCTGTCCAGCAATAGAAGTGACCTTCAATCTGGAGTCAGGATGTTGATGGCATTGTCATACTGCTCACTTCCTCTCGTTGCGCGAGATCGTCAGGATCATGAAGATCGTCACACACGTGCGATAGAACGAAGGAAACCCAACCATCAAACCCTGAGAACCCTGTTTGATTTCGACGTGCCACCATTCTCTCAACACCCCGACAAGCCATTGCAGAATCTTTGGGTGCAAAGATCGTCACATTTTCGCCACTTTCTATCATCTACAAAAGCATCATCAGCGTAACATTGCTCTGTGTGTTATCAAGTACCAGCCGTGCGGAGACAGCTTCCATTCCGTAAGCTTCCACATTGTTGAACAGGTCAGAAAGACAGGCGTCGAAGAGAGAAAGCTCCGGGTCCTTGCGGATAGCATCTCGAACATCTTGAGGAGGGTCCAGCATCGCATCGCTCACATCCCAGTCCAGCGGGGTCACCCCATTACAATTGAGGAGAGCAGAAAACGCGCCCACCGCCGCTGCGACCCAAGTGAAGAACAAGTTGTGGGGGTCCCACAGATATGCCGGAATAGCAAGGAAGAGAGATCCGGCCACGACCTTCCAGAAAAGCCGCATGCGGCCCTGATACAGGCTATGCTTGCTCAGCTGATACAGGCTATGCTTCCTCAGCTGATACAGGCTATGATTGCTCAGCTGATACAGGCTATGATTGCTCGGCCCTTATACAGTCTATGCTTGCTCGGCCCTTATACAGTCTATGCTTGCTCGGCCCTTATACAGGCTATGCTTGCTCGGCCCTTATACAGGCTATGCTTGCTCAGCCTTGATACAGTTTGTGCTGCAACCCTCTCTTGGCATTCAGTCCTGCGAGAACAGTCAAAATTATACTAGATAAGATTCGTACTGAAAAAATTCGAGTAAGCAACCGTACACTCTCTTATCACTCTTCGACATCTCAAGATTTCTTATGGAAATCTGTAATTGCACCTATTTCGTTCATCTTGACCATGCCCTTAGCAGGTTAAAGCCAATGCGCTGAATATCATCATCCCTTGCAAGAACGCACCAAATCAAACAAAATCATTGTCTGCTTCCACTTCTGCTTTCAAACATCCCGATCGGACTTTCATATCGCAATGCTTCCTATTGAGAGTTCTACTTGACTTACACCATGATATGTGATCTTGCTACCAACATCAATTCCGCGCCGCTGGAATGGCCAGCAACTTTTCTCGAACAAGTTTGTCAATGCCAACAGCTTTGATGTTACCTACAGCTCACTCGCCTTCAGTCTTGTTTCTACCCATCCAACTTCACGGTTTCCTCTTGCATTTCTTCTCCGTCCTTCATACCGCTCCGGTTGAAGGCACCATCAGTGCGCTGCGCAGGTAGCACTGCCCCCCCGGGCGCCCGGCGCCCGGGCCTTCTGAGCCTGCCAGTGGGGGGCCGGGGGGGGGGTTGCTCTCGGATGATGAGCGGGTGAGTCGGCCCGGGCCGCCCGGCTGAGTGCCACCGGGGCTCGCCGGGAACGGAACTGCTTGTAAGCCTTTCGCCCCCCGGGCCGAGCTCCGGAACTTCCGGCCGAACCGGGCCTATCACCGAGTCTCCGGGCGGCCCGGGCCGGCCCCGGTCGCATCACCGTGAGAGTCCGATTGTACAAGTGGGTTAAGTTAGACTCAGTCCGCCGGGGCGGCCAGGCTCCTCACTGGTCACTGTGCTCCTCCGAATCCGCCGGCTTGTCATGACTCAGTGAGTGCCAACTCAACCACACGGTTGAACGGCCGGGCCGGGCGGTTCAAGTCCGACGGTTCCCGCAGGAAGAATGATGGCCGACCGGAAGATTGTTCTGGTTCAAGTGGCCACCGAAGATGTTATAAAGGAGGAGTCACCACCACCCCACCACCCCACCCAATAAATATCCACCCTGTTTTTTACTACCCCACCCACCTGAAAACCTTCCAAATAACCCTACCTCCCGAAGAAATCGAGTCCATACAACAGCGTTTCTGAGACCAGTACCCCCCCCTCCTGCGGTAAAGAGCATCATGCTCGTTGTAGCCCTTGCGCTCCTTCCCTGTGCCATGGCCTTTGCCCCAGCGCCCCTATCGTCAACCTCTGTCTCAGCTCTCTCAGCTCTCTCTCCGCTCTCTCACAGCCTCTCCTCCCCCATCAGCCGGGGTCATGTTTCCCTCCGCTCCCCATCTCGTCGCATGGCTGGGTTGACATGGGGCAAGGTAAAGCTTGCATGCACAGAAGGCAGCGGTGACAAGGAGCTGCAGATGAAGGTGGACAATGCAGCAGAAGAGAAAGTCCAGGAGACTGTGAAGGAGTTGAAAACAGAGGAGGTCAAGGAGGAGAAAAAGGAGAATCTCATGACCAAGGTCAAGGATGCTGGTGTAGCCGGACTTGTTGCGTACGCGATCTGGGAATTCATGTAAGTTCTTGTTTGCAAACATTTTCTTGTTCATGTTGGAATGTGTTCATCGGAATTGCTATTGGTTCTTCTTTTCGGCTGCCAGTTGACATTTTTCCTTAGCTTCTGGGCGATCAGTGTTCCAACAGCTATCTTTGCTTACCATCAAACTACCGGAGAGTGGCCCTCCTTTGACAACCCTGAGTCAACTGCCAAGGTGACATGACCTAACAGCTCCCACTTTCATATCTTACGCTCCTCCCCAGGTCTCTGCTGTCATCTTCGGCTTCCTCAACGTGGCTCGTGCGCTTGTTCCTGTTCGCATCGCCATCACTCTAGCTACCGCTCCTTTCGGTGAGTGCTCCCGATGAGGTTCCATGGCATGCGTCTCCTGACCTCCAACGCAGTTGACAAGTACATTATCAAACCTTTCAACTTGGGAAAGAAGGAGGAGAACTAGGCTGTACAAGTAAATGAGAATTATTTATTCACATCGGGGAGTTGGAGCCTTGTAATCACAGGGCAAAGGATGGTAGGATAAGCATCAGCTCGCATCATTGGACATCGATGTTGTCGAGATGAACTTCAATCAGCTTCCCCCCGTCTAGCTCCACAACAACTCGCTCCGGGTCTTGCGACGAGGGAGCCATGAGGTATCCTTGCAGCCCGTTGTAAGAGAACGACTTGAGTCCTTTGAGCTTCACCCATGCTCTTGTATGAAACCCTGGCATGTTCGGGAGGTCCAACAGCGTCAGCTTGTCCAGGTTGTAGCTCACCGTCTCGCCACCGCAGCCCTCGTAGACTTCGAAGAGCGTGACCATAACATGCTTCATGAAGCTGTCATCCTCTCGTACAATGATTCCCTTGCGACCATACAGGTCCTCAACGACTCTGTGCAGGGCAAACTTCGGTAGAAGGAAGCTGAGATTGTCATATCGTACACTCACTCGGCGATCGCTGTTGTTGAGGTGTATCACAACTCGATCAGGGTCAACAGGGTCCACGTCCTCAACAGTGCCAGTCAGGTTGTTCATTGATACATCCGCCAGCTTGTTCTTGGCTCCAAGAATCACTCTGCCACCTCGCTCCCATCCCCTTCTCATCACCACTTCCAGCTTTGCGAAGCGAACAGCTCCAAGCTTTCTGTCACTCTCCCACCTGACCAGAGCCCTGCCGGGATCCGACTCCAAGGTCCTGATGATGGTGCCTACCTGCTCTTCTCGCGTGCCATTGACTCCTCTAGCTCGCACTCGCATGCCAGGACGGAGCCCGGGAGGAAGCTGATAGTCGAGGTTGTGGTACCGCACTTCCATGTCTGATCCGTCGGCTAGCTTCACTACCACCCACTCCGGGTCTGACGGATTGGCTTCAACCACTCGAGCGTGCGCGCCGTTGAAGACGGACGCGTTCTTGAGTTGCCTGATCACCACCATTCGCCCGGGTTCAAGCCCCTCAGGCAGCATGAACTCTATCGCATCTGCCAGCCGCTCCCTGCTGCACACCAGCTCTTCTCGGTTGTCAAACTTGATTCTAGCCGTGTTTGTATGGTCGTCGTAAACAATCGTCCCTGTCTTCTCCTGCTCTCCGGGGCCCTGCGCCTTGCTCCTGCAGCGACTGGTCCTTTGGATGGTTTGACGCACGTCCTGCGCCTCGACTATCGCCCTCTTGTTCCACTCCATGCACGCCTTCCACTCCGCCACTCTCTGCTGCTGCTTCGCTCCCTGCTCCTCTGCCCAGCTCCCTGGAAGGATCTCCGAGGTCCGACGAGGCGCATCCTGCTGTGCTAGGGCTCTTTCTTGAAGGACGCTTAAGAGTAGCTCATGGAGGGAGAGCGTGTCCGGATGTGAAGGGCCGAGAGTCTTCTCGAAGACTGTCAGCGCCTGCCACAGCAGGTCCTTGCTCTCCTCCATCTCCCGCCTCGCTACCTTGACCTCTCCTATGCATCGCAACATCTGCGCGGTGCCAAGAGAGTCTTTGCCGGATTTAGACACGTTGTGCTGCAGGACAGACTGGAACTCTTGTAGAGCGAGGTGAAGGAGTGCCTGCGAGTCGGCGGCAGCTTTCCTGGTGGACATGTCGAAGAAGACAGCTCCCATGTTACGTCTGATCTGTATGATCTCGTCGTGGTGTGCTCCATAGAACATTCTCATGATGTTGAGAGCCAATTTCAGCTTCGAGAGCGCATGCTCCAAGTTGTCGAGGTGGTGATAGCAGGCCGCCATGCCCACGAGCGCTCTTGCTGTGTTGGGGTGCCGATCCCCGAACCTCTTGAGGGCATGCTTGAAGGCGTTGCTGAAGGAGAGCAGAGCTTCCATGCACTTGGAGGAGTCCAGCTTCGACCTGCCCTCGTTCATCATGTCGTTGAGAGCATTGTCCTCTGTGACAACATACTGCGAGATCAAGCGCATGCTCTTGTCTCCACTTGACTGTCCGTCAGGCTGCAGTGTGGGAGATGCGATCTCAAGGTTTCGAGTTACGAGATCTAACAGTTTGCTTCTCTCACCATTGACATTGCTTGGCTCATCCATGAACTCCTTCCACTTGGCGATCTGCTTGAAAATTCCTTCACTAGTCTCTCCCTCTCCATTCTTCAGACGGGCGATGGCAAGGTTGTTCAACACCTCAATGCAGCTCTCAACGTCGCGATGCTCCTGAAAGATCTTGAGCGCTTCTTGATACTCAAACATCGATGACTGGAGCTGCCCGAGAGCTTCATAGTTCATACCCAACAAGTTGTGCAGCATCCCGACTCGCATGTCTTCTTTCCCTAAGTTGTACTCCACGATTCGCTTCGACTTGTCGAGCCAGTGGATGGAGTCATAGAACAGGCCGCACCTGTACCTGATCAAACCGACGTTGTAGTAGAGCTCGCCCACTGTACTCGCGTCTCTGGTCTCGTTCTTGGAGTAGAGGTCCAGGCAGTCTTGCAGCAGCCTCTCACACTCGGAGTACTTCTCTTGCTTCAACCTCATACGTGCAAGGCTCAACAGGATGAGCACCTCCCATGCTGTATCCTCCTGCTGCATTGCTTTGCACCAATGCAGCGACTGATATGCAAACTTGATGGACAACTCTAGAGAGTTCGTCTGTTGATGGGCGAGAGACATCTGGTATAGCGTGTCCAGGACGATCAAGTTTTCCTCGTGCATCATTCCGTTGAGAAAGGGGCATGAAATATCTGACACTTTAAAGTGATATTTGCCGCACGGAATCAGAAGCCCGTCGATTCTGATCTCCTTCTCAAGGGCAGTGAGTTTGATCTCCAGGTCATTCATCGTGATCTTGTTGCGATTTACATGCATCTCCACAAAGCAGCTCTCACTGTTCCAGTCCTTCATGTCGAACGACTCTGATCGAGTGAGGCTGCGGACGATCTCTAGGGTCCGGCTGTCGAAGCCTAACACGTTCTCGATGCCTTTCTGCAGCTTTTCAATCATGCTCGGGCTGTCAAGCTTCTGCAGGACTTTGGAGTCGAACTTGAGAGTGAGGGACAGGAACTTCTTGTCCGCAAACTTGTGTATGAGGGGTTCGAGGAAGTCTAGAGTGAACTGAAGCCTGCAACAGACGTCAGCTCGTCCTCCTCCACGCCTCTCTGAAACCTGTTGAGAGCCTCAGCGACCCTCCCGCTCCTCAGGAAACAGACGCCTAGGTAGTGCATCACATGCGAGCTTTCCCTCGTCTCCGACGCGCTGAGGGTCTGCAGCATCCGCAGGCATCGCTCCAGCAGCGCGCAAGCCTCGTCCGCGTCTCCCTTCCGCAGCAGGATCTCAGCTCTCTTGATCTGAGTGTGGAGAATCACAGGGTTGGACGCGTCCTTGCTGGAGCTCAGGTGGTTCAGCAGCCGCTCCGTCAACCCGAGAGCCTCGCCGTGATCCTGCAACTCCGACGACAGATGCTCGGCACACGCCTCGATGACGTCAAGGTCAAACTCTGACGTGTCACTGACTAGCTGGAGCAGGTTTGAGGTCCAGTATCCCCTCTCCGGCTTGACCTTAATTCTCCTCCCCTTCCTCTCCATGCAAGCAGCTCCCAGGTGGCTGAGAGCCTTCCGGGCATCCAGCTGGACCTGGGGCAGGAGAACTCGCAGGCAGTGCAGCACGAGGGGATGAAAGGCGACGGTCTGACGGTCTTGCATGGCAGCGAAGCCATGCTGCACAACGAGGTTCATTCTGCTGCGAGATCGGAGCTCCGGAGGAATCATGTCCATGTGGATGCGGTAGGGCCCCAGGTGCACACACAAGGCGAGGAAGTCAGGCATGAGCTTGTCCTGCAACTTCATCTCGCTCATGGCGTACCCAACGTGTGGCAGGAGGAGGTTGACGGCCTTGAGGTCCTGCGCCTCCAGCTCGTACATGTCGGGGGAGACTTGTGCCTCGACGCGCTTGAAGAGGCTGATCTTCTGAAGGTACCAAGACATGGGCACCCCAAGAATCCTGATACACGAGGACGCCAAGGCGAGGACGAGGGGGATGCGGTCAGCTGCTGAATCAAGAGCTTGACGTCAGCTGGGTTTTCGTCGCTGGCTTGATGGATGACAAGCTCTCGAGACTCGTCGTCAGTCATGAGGTCGAGGACCAGCAGGTTTTGAGAGGGAGCTGCTATGTCAAGTGGTCTGGTGGAAGAGACGACGGTGATGCCTGCCTGGCTTTGCGCGGGGATTCGAAACTCGTCAAACAGCCTGCGGTCTTGCAGGTCGTCCAAGACCACCAGCCATCCGTCGTTGGCCTCCAGCCACATGCGGAACCTCGCGGTCAAAGTTTGAAACGACCCCTTGGCGCCGACATGAATCTGAAGGTGCTGAGCGATGTCAAGCAGCGAGTGATACGCCTCCTTGTACGTCTTGGCTCGCAACCAAAAGACTGCCTTGACCTTGTTGCGGCGTATGAGCTCGTAGGAGAGGTGGCTCAGAGCTGAAGTCTTCCCGCAGCCGTCAGGTCCGCTCACCAAGATCAGCGAGTTTGACTGAGTCTGGATGCGAGCGAGGCAGTGTCTCAGCAAGTCTTGCCGATGCTTCGTCATCGCAGGCACCATCACGCTCCTCGCCACGTGGTGCTGAGATCCGGTGTAAGCCAGGAGCGGCAGCCCGCACATGTAGGGGAGGTTGTAGGCCTGATACAAGGCTGCCAAGTCCTCCTGCCCGTAATCGAGGTCGACGTTCTCAGACTCTTTCATCCAGAAGAAGAACTTGCTGGAGATGGACCAATGATCTAGATGCACGCTGCTGAAGCTCTCCTTGTTATCAACGCTCATCTTAAGTCTGTGTAGCATGTCCACAAGTTCGATCCCCTGCATCTCAAGCAAGGAGGAGAACGTCGGCAGGAAACAACATTCTTCTATGTCCTCCGTGGTACATCTCAACAGCAGGGTATTACTTACAGCGACTGAGCTTGCTTTCAAGTTGGAATATTCAAACTCCCGGGATGCTCCAAACAAGAAGCAGAGGGTTGGAGATGCGAAGAATCCGTTCTTGCTGGCTACTTCTTGCAGCAGCCATTCCACAGGCAGACAGGAGTCTTGGATGCTGCGGTAGCCTTCAAAGTTCAGCCTGTTGGCGAGCATGCCTTGCAAGTCGCTGTCGTGGGGCACGAGGAACACAGACTCGTTCACTTTCATCATGTTTCCAACCAAGAGGAGCAAACGAGCTCCTGTATGCTCCGTGTTGAAGTTCAGGTACTCTCGTAGAGCCTGCTCGCTGTCGTACTTGCTCGGGTTCACAAGCAAGCTTGTCTTCCACATGAGCGCTTCCAGCACTTCACACGCTCTTCTCCCTCTTGACACAAACTCACTCTCTATCGTGTCGAAAACGACCACCATTGCAGAATTTTTGCGCTGTTGCATTGCATGCTTTTCGACTTCCTTGAGTGGGAATGAAATTCCTTGCAGCATGTGACATTCTTCGTTGAGAAACTTGCCCTCAACGAGCTCGAGCAGCTTGCTCAGAGCTGCTAGTGTCAGGCAGGGGCTGCAACTCTTGTCCAGCTGCTGTAGACTCTTACCCTCCAAGTCAGAGCACTTGGGCTGACGGACACAGCTTCTATGCAACTCCCATGGCTGTTTCCACTTCCATGCCGAGCCCTTGATCTCACACAAGGATGAACTTGTCAAGTGCTTCTCCATCCTCGCCATCTTCTCTTGCATGGAGGCAAACTTGGGTATCGCTCCCATCTTGGAGGCCTTCAAGCTCGTCGTGATGACATGCAGGCACGTGGCAGAGAAGTGCCGTTGAAAGCGATGCCGAGCGAAGGGTTCGTCGAAGAGGAGGTAGATGACGGTGAAAGTGAAGTTATTCAGGTTCTTGTCTCGGGGCCTGTTTGAGTGCATGATCCACACCTCCATCATCGTCTTGGGCTCTGAGGAGCGAAGCGGCCAAGGAAACTCCACAACCGCGTAAGTCTGCATGGAGGAAGAGTCGTCGACCAGCAGCTTCTGCAGAAAGTCTCTGCTCTCCGTCTCTCTGTTGGAAGCAAACCCTGCGTTCCAGTGCGCAAGCTCCCGAGCGACTCGAACCTGCTCCCAGTCAAGAGCACTCCGCTTCCGCTCGGACCGGAGGTACACATGGAAGCCAACGCTGGGAGGAGCTGAGAGATGTGCCGATGCTGCCTCGGTGCATCTGCAGCTCGACCTGGAGGAGAGGAGAGTCAGCGGGGGGTCGCGCAGCTGGAAACTCACCTGCGCGAGACGTCTGCTTGCGTCCCCGTCTCGAACTCAGACCATTGCCCTTCATCCGGCTCTCCTTCTCGCCATGTTCCAGCGAACTTGATCCCCGTGTTGAAGAAGAACGTCCCTTGCCCGTGCGGGTATCCGTCCTTCCACTCCCCCCTGTAAATCCCTTGCTCGCTGCTCCCTTCCGCCCACCCGCTCCCAGGTCGCCGCTCACGACCCTCCAGCTTGAAGGTCGACATGCTCGACTGATCAGCGCTGCTCGCACCCCTGTCGTACTATCCGACTGCTCCTGATGACGATGATGATAAGGAGGAGGAGGAGGAGGAGGAGGAGGAGAATATCATTTCATCATATCAACTACACAAGGTGCGCTACTAGCTCTTCTACTTCAACCACACGTTCAAACCGCCGCCATCCCCGACAGAGTGATAGGGCCAGTGAGCTAGGGCAGCAACACATGTACCTTTTCCTTCCTCTCTGCCTTGCGCCGGGTCGTCCGAGCCAGCCAGGACCGTACGGTCACTACTGTAAGGCCGGAGACGAAGCCCGGGCCGGGCGGCGCGGCCTGCCGCAGAGTCCGGGCCCGAGCCGCGGTCTCCGACCGGTGTCAGTGACCCGGCGTGATCCACTAGGGGCCCGGCGTGTGCCAACATACTCAGTGATTGCCGCGCCGGGAACTCCGGGCTCTCTGATAGTACGAACTTTGCAACAACGGGGTTCTGAGGCGGGTGCCTTCAAATTATTGTCGAAAGTTTGACAAGAGCGGTTGCCATGAGGCGAGGGGAGCTACGACCAGGAGGAGGGGAGCATGAAGCTCGACACAGGATGCCTGGCTGAGAACCCGCAAGCTCTCCATGCCGCATCCTCTTCCTGCCACGAGCCTGCTAAGCTTCCTCTTGGTGATACTCTTGTCACAATGCCAGGGGAACGCATTGCAAAGTTGCCCAGCCTACCCATGGCCGGCTCATGGCAGGGCCTCACCATCCCGAGTGATGGGGCTAGGAGAGCAGGTCGAGATCACCTGTGATGTTGGCTACCAACCAAGCTCTCTCGACCTCGTGACTCCCGCATGCCTAGGGTTCGATCCAGCCGTGAACGTGTCCAACCTTACAACAGCGGAAGCCCTGGGGTATTCCCCGGGGAGCTTGTGCATGCCCATAAGTTGCGGTCGCTTCCTTCCCCCAGCAAACTCAGAAGTGACGCCGACGGGAGAGGTGTTCTTCAACCAGACCGTCAAGGTGGCTTGCTTGCCGGGGTTCACAGCCTCGGGAGTTTTCGGGTCTTCGGACTCTCCTAGATGTCAACCCGACGGGTCCTTCACTCTCGCCATCACCTGCCAGCGAGTTCCGTTGCAATGCGCCAACGCGTTTGACACCCGCGAGCTCTCGAGCGCGAGGCTGGGGAGCTTTCGCAGGGAGACGTGCCATCCGAGCGCGGAGTATTGCGTGTCTGCCTTCTCGCAGGTGTCAGGATACTTCTGGTACGGCTGTGGACCTCCGATCGTAGAGGTTGCTGCAGCTATCATCCCTGTGCCTGACTGGGAGAACTTGGTCACTGCAGCCGACGGCATGCTCGGTCGAAAGTCCCCCTCCTGGCTCTCCTCGCACTTCATCTGTACGGGGACAAAACTGGAAGGAGAAGTTTACATCGAGTCCAGCGAGTTTGGGGGAGGCAACTGGACGTTCAGCTGCTGCTGCTCTCAGATGTGCAACCTCGGATTCAGGTGCGCTCAAGCTCCCTTGGGTCAGCCGCTCTCCTCCGAGTCCAGCGTCTTGACGGCTTCTGCTGAATGCAAGCAGAGTACTGGATGCTACCAGTCGAAGCCCTTTCCCAGCAGCCAGTGGAGGTATGACCCTCTCACCAACCAGCTGCTCCAGACCTACAGCCCAGAACTGGTGGGTCTCATCGATTTCAACACGACCTCCAAGCGCCCTCCTGGGTACGGCGAGGACGTGATCGGTTATGCTGCCCTCATGCGAGGGGCGGCGGACTCGTGGGTGGCTGCTGACGCTCCTGTGCTGTTTGTTGACACTTCCCGCGTGTTCCCGTACGCGGCCAAGCTGAAGGCCTGGGAGATCGTGGCGGATGCTCCTTGCCAACTGATGGTGCAAGTGTGGAGGAAGACCGGCAACGCCGACGAGTTTATGCTAGTTTCCAGCTCATCTGTCCAAGTGACGAGCAACTACGGCAGTCCAGCTCTGTTCCTGCTGCCAGAAGGGGAGCAGACGGAAGTGGCCAAGGGAGACGTGATAGGTTGGGGGCACACAGGTCCTGGTCACCTGGTCTACGACGGCGACTCGTTGCAAGCTCAGTCGATCAAGTTTGTCTACGGAAGTTCAACGATCGGCGCCTCCCGTATCTTCATTTTCTCTGCCAGCAGGCGCTACTCGATCCGCGCCTTCTTCGACCCCACCCCGCTGGCTGACAGCTGGATTGTTTCCGCCCCTCAGCCCAATGGGAGTGGCTGCTACGACTGGTCGCTTTCGCGCTACGGCCTCCACTGCAGCCAAGGCAGCATGAACATTCCCGTGGTCAACCTGAGCGACGGCAGCAGAGAAGTCTCTGAGGTTGGACTCCAGCTCTTCGTGGTCGGCTCTAGCGTGTTCGAGTACACCTGCTGCAAGAGCAGCATGTGCAACCAGCTGCCGTGCGTCAGGGCCGGCAGGTCTTGCGGCCTCTACCCGCGAACCAGCAACGCCATCGTCACTCCCAACTCTTCCATCGTCGTTCCCCTCCAGCACGTGAACATCTCCTGCGTCGTCGGGTACTCGCTTTCCGGAGAACCTTTCCGGAAAGTAGACCCGCAGTGCCTCAAGGACGGCAGCTTCGAGTCAGGCGAGGTCGGCTCCTCGTTCTGAAAGTGCTGCTGCTTCTGCTGCTCATCCGCTCTCCTTGCTCCTTTCTGCTGCTGCTGCTCTTCCCCCTCCCCCTCCCCCCTTCCCCCCCTCCGCTTCTTCTTCCTCTTTCATGCTGCTCCTTTCTCGTTGTTCCTGCTGCTGCTGCCTCGTTTTCCACTTCCTCCTTCCTGCTCCTGCTCCTTTTCATCCTTTCCGTTCACGCCCCCTTCATTTCTTCTTTTTCTCCCTGCCACCGCCACCCTCCACCTCCTTTCCGTCCCTCGCTCGATTCTCTTCATCTGATCGCTCCTGCTCTCCCTTACCTTCTCCTCCGCACTGACGCGGCCCCAGGTCTGTCTTCCTGTTTCCTGCGGGAGGTATTCTCCTCCTCCCAACGGCAGAGTCTGGCCCCTCCGCCCCATCCTCTACGGGGAGAACGTCACAATTTCTTGCGTCCAGGGCTACGAGCTTGTGGGAGGAGGAGCTGTAAACCCTCGGTGCACAGCAAGCGGCAAATTCGAGGAGGGGAAGGTAAGGGGCGACGCTGCAGTCTTGGTCCTGACTTTCTCCTAGTTCTGCTCCTTGCAGAACGGGGGGGCGATCGTAGGAGTGTCGATCGCGTTCTTCCTCCTCGTCCTGCTTGCCGGCTTCCTCCTCCTCTTCACGTGCAGGAGGCTTCTCAGTTCCGTGCGCTCATGGGAGAGGAGAGCTCGAGTCATTGGTAGGATGATGAGACGTTTGCTTGCAGAGCTGACTTTGTTGACAGATCCTGAGGAGGTAAATTCGAGAGAGGAGGAGGAAAGGCAGGAAGAGGCCGAGGAGGAGCAAAAGGAGGCGGAGGCGGAGGGGGCATACAATGACTGTTCGAGAGCAACCGGGAGGAGAAGGAGGTGGTGGGGAAAGGAGGAGGAGCAGAAGGAGGAGGGGGGCTGAGAGCACTACAATCTCATGATGCTGGGCAGGTGACGGATGGATCAGCGGAGAAGAAGTCGAAGCTAGTGGCATCGCTGGAGGAGCTTACGAGGAGGTACACAGGCGACAGGTGCGACCCTCCTGACTCGCTGGCAGGATACGGAAGAGCCGAGGACTGGAGGGGGGTGCTCAGGTGGGAAATGACAGGCGGATCATCTAAGTCCAGCTGACCCCCCGCTACAGGCTGTACCCATCCGACAAGGCGACTTCATCCTGGTGCCCTCGTGGCGCGGGCTCGGGCCGAAGCCAACCGTTGTGAAGCTGAGAGGAAGAAAAGGGGAGGAGGTTGAGAGGTAGAAGGAGACTGCGGATTCGAGGAGGGCGAGCAGAGGCAGAGCGCCAGGGAGAAGGGAGAAGTCTATTGCACAGTTTGTTCAGTAAGTCTCAGGGTCTGGGATGTTCCAGTTGGTCAGGATCTTCACTTTCATCTCCTGCTGCAGCTCGTAGTTGGCTCGCGCCTCCGCAGGCTGTCTCCATGTCAGCAACTCTCTCCTCTCCTCCCCTCCGCTCCCCTCGCCTCTCCTCTCCTCTCCTCTCCTCTCTCCTTCTGTTCTTGTTCTCATCTCATCCACTCCTTCCGCTCCGTTTCCTCCAACTTCCTTCAATCTCCCACCACCCGTCCCCTCCTCGCTATCCCTCATGCTCTGCTCTCTCCCTCGCTCCCTCCTCTCGCTCACCTCGGTGGGGATCACGCTCTCCAGCAAGAGCTTGCCAAGGAAGAGGATGTGCTCGAACACGAGGGTCGCCCACATGCAGTCGGCCTGCTGGAGCTCAGGAGCGTGAAGCAGGGAGGAGCGAGTCACCATGGTCATGTCCGGGAAGTAGAAGTAGATGCCATGAGATGTTATACCCAGCAACCCGGAGGTTGTGATGATGGAGAGAACTGCAAAGACGTCGATGACCTGCTCTCCTAGTCAGTTCCTCTCCTTCTCTTCTTCTTCGCTCACTTGCTTTCTCCTCTCCTACTCATTCCTCTCCTTGTGCATCACTTCCCCCTACCTACCGCCTCTACCAAGTCCTGACACCATCCATGACTTCCATACGCCTTTCCCTCCAGCCCTTCTCCCTCCTCCAGCCCTTCTCCCTCCTCCAGCCCTTCTCCCTCCTCCAGCCTTTCTCCCTCCTCCAGCCCCTCTCCCCCCCGCTGCTTCCTCTTGTCCTCTCACCTGTTGGTAAGTCCCGATGTCCGAGGCGCACTCATACCCGGGCCTGCGCGTCTCGCAGAGGATGGAGTTTGCCTTTCTCCTTAGCTCGAACATGTTCACCACGTTGCACAACAGGGGCACAACGGGGCAGGCCAGGCCGAACATAGCCACGTATCCGAGCTGATACACCAACACCTGATGGGACAACGTCAGGGTTGTTGTGAGGGAAGAAGTAGCTCAAGGAAAGAGAAGGGAGGGTTGGAGAAGAGAATGAAAAAGGGAAAAGGGAGAGATTTGTTCTTTCTCTTCTTCCGAGAGAGAGAGAAGAGAGAAAGCGAGAGAGAAGCGGGAAGGAGAGAAAGAGGAGGTAAGAGAGCGTGCAAGAGAGTTGAGCAGAAGAGTGCAAGGAGAGGAGAGAAGGGGGAGGGAGGAGAAGGTACCATGTAAAAGTCCACGACGGCACCTGGCTCATCTGAGATGGAAAGCTCAGGCAAAGACAAGGCAGAAGGATAAGACAAAACTTACGCCATTCGTACTGAATCTCCATGGGAGCGCGGATGACTCGCATGCCTGAGGGAGGGACCGGTTTGCCCTCTTGCGACAGCATCTTCCTTACTGAGGGGAAGACATACAGCTGCACGTAGTAAAAGATTTGAAGGAGAACAACTTGTGTGACTAGCACGATAGACAAGACAGGGTAGCACTCCCAGTTGTAACACCGCCAGTACTGTCCGGAGACCTTGGCAAGGCAACACACATCAGTCGTTGTGGTAGAGACAAGATGGTCTACCTTGACGTTGTTCGCAAAGAAAGCGACCCATAGCAGCGGGAAGAACTTGTTGACCATCTTGTACATGAAGGTGTGCATGATCAGAGCGTCTTCGTACCTCGTGAACGTGTCCCAGTTTTCGTTGTCTGTCAGTCGGTCTACTATTCCTTGGAAGCCCAACTCAGGCACACCGTCCATGGCACAGTCTGCTGCAAAGATGACGAAGCTGCTGGCAATGCCGTACATGACGCTGCCGACCATGATGTCCTCGACGTTGATAAGCGAATATAGCATCTGCCAGAGGAAGATCTGAAGGTATATGATGACAATATCCACAACCAAGATGACGGCGTATGTCCAGGCTTTCTCCCTCGACCTCCCTGTTGGGATCGGAAAGTACTCTCCCTCGTCGAAGTAGTAGGCGTCCTTCTCCCCTGTCACCTCGTTGTCATGCTTTCCTTGCTCCTGCAGACGTCAAGGCCATCAGCGTATTGTGAAGCTCCCACTTGTTTCACCGTCTTCTCGTCCTCCATGAACTCTCGCCGTATCTCCTCCTGCTCTTCAAACGCAACGGTGTCCCACTCAAATTGTCGACTAGTAACGTCTCGAGTCAATAGGAGCAACAAGCATCAAAGCCTTTACGTCTTCTCCAAGCTCTTCCACAAGCAAGAAAACGCCGACGTCCACATGCTGAGAATGACTCCATACACGAGCATGTATGGGCTTTCCATGCTGTTGACTTCCATATAGTCTTGTATCTGCCTCAAGTCAGTCTTGCCTGACCAGCCTCTATGAACGGACCTGCAGAACGAAGAGAATGGCTCCGAGGATCCCGGGAATCCACAACATAGTGATGTAGAAACCAAACCAAGTCCAGAACAGAGCATGTTTCTCCCTGCGAGCAAGTCAAAAACAGCGCCAACATCACTACAGTTGTCGCACCCGAAATATTCACGAATGATTTCAAGCGGCTGTGGACTGAAAGGCCTCGTACTCCACTCGCTGATAAGTTTCAGTCGAATCCTCTCATGATGAAGAGGAAAATATGCACCTGCGACATGATCAACAATCACATCTGGCAACCTGCGTGCTCACAAAGTTTTGATCCCATCCCCGACCGTCCGCAGCCCTCGAACTCGCTCATCTTCGCTTCAAACTCAAACTTGAGCTTCTCCTCCCCATCATTTCTCCATGGCTCTGTCCTTGACACCTGATAGAGACTGTTACGATTACCTCCTCCTTTGCAGCTCTTTCCATCACCTCCTCGATTATTGTCAGCTGCTGTTGACTGCAGAAAAGTTCGAAGCCATCCGAGGTCTTTGTAAACGCTTTCTTGGCTTCAAGTTCCCCCGTGTACTTGCACAATGCACTGCCCAAGTGCTCCCTCAGTCGTAGCCTGACGCCTTTCTCCTGCAATGGCGATTAGCCCCGCCGCTCGTTTGCGGTCCATTCGTTACCTGTGCTTCATAGCGGAGCATCGTATCAGGGGCTGAGAGCTTGAAGAAACAGAGGGTCCTGTCCTTATTCTTCATCTCTTGCACGTTGAGATTGAGCGATCTCATCAGACCCTTGAACTGTCCCCACGTCATGTCAGCAACAGGGTAACAGCAAGCAAGCTCTTACTCTGATCCTCTCCTCTTCCGCTGCCTTCACCACCTCCTCGATCGCCTCGTCAGGGTCGGGCAGTGAGAAGACAGCGCACATGGCAGGAGGTCCCATGGAGACAAGAGCAACGGCTGCGGCATCGTCGTCTTCCCCTCCCGCGTAGCGCGTCGCCCGTGATCTGTCCTTGGTGCGCATGGCGAAGAGACGCGGCAAGAATTGAGGGTGGGGTAGTTCAGAACTGGACAATGGGGTAGTAGGAACGATTGTCAACAGGGGTGGTCGACTAGTCAAAGTCGAAAGACAGACTCAGTCAAGTCAATTTCCGAGTCACTCAGCCGCCGCGCCCGGCATGCTGTAATCGGACAACGCGGCCCGGGCCGGCGGCCTGCCCTCTGTTGAGAGCCTGGCTTAATTAAACCCTTGGCGGCGATCGGATCGGACGGTGGCAACTTTGGCAACGTCAAGTAATGACTGCACATGAATGACGACGATTGAGCTTGAACCTTCCGAGTTTATTCACGGTGGACACATTGAAATCAGTGTTAACATCTACTTCAGGCTACTGTAGGAGCTTGCAAAACGAAGCGTTAAGTTTTCAGGACCAGTGAGTGACTCTAGACTTCAGTCAAGTTGTGTTCTTGGACTCATGCTCATGGTCAGATCGTCGTTGAACAGGACCGTGTTGACAAGGACTGTTGCCCCTCGAGTCCTCCTCCTCCTCGGTCTTCCAGCCTCGGACATCGGTAGTTTAGTTGAGACTCGAGGAAGACTAGCCGTGATTGACATCAGCCTCCTGACCAGCTATGGCGTCCACGTTAAGCGAGCACGTGTAGGTGGTCACAACCCCCTTGTTCTTGAGGTGAACGTTCAGCCGCTCTTGCCACTGCCAAGGGCCCTCGTCCTTCATAGCAGAGACGTCGACATTGGTTCTCTCCTCTCCTCCCTCCTCCTCCTCTCCTCGCCTCCTCGTGTGGCAGAACATTTCTTGGAAGACCTCCGCGCTCACCTGCAGCTGGCCCACCGGAGCTGTGCTTTCCATCCTGCTCGCAACGTTCACGGCGTCGCCAAAAAGGCAGTAGCGCTTCCGGATCCTCCCAACGATACCCGACATGACAGGGCCAACATGCACGCCAACTCGCAGCATCATGGGATTGCCCCAGGGGTCCTTGACGTCTCGAGCGGCTACGATCATCTCCCTTGCAAACTTGACTGCATCCTGGACGATTTTCTTCTCTCCCAGCCCTTGCTCTGAGCTGAACAGTCCAGCTGCGGCCATGTACGAGTCACCAATGGTCTCGACCTTGTAAACATTATTCACTTCGCAAAGAGTATCGAACTTGCAGTACAAGTTATGCAGCATGTTCATGACCTCCTGGGCTTCAAGATTAGAAGCTATCTTTGTGAAGGACACAATGTCTGCGAACACGATAGCTACTTTGTCATGAGACCTTCCATACACGATCGCACTGGAGTCTGCGTCTGTTGACGAAGAAAGAGAGTCTGTGGTCGAGGTTCGATGAAGGCTTGTCCTCTTGCTCACACGCTGCTCTTCGCCCTGCGCGTCTCCGACTTGTTGGATCGCGTGGATGACGTTCTCAGGGATAATGTCAGTGAGCAGCTCATGCTGAATCTTCATGGTGACTCGAGATAGAGCTAACATGACTGAATTTTCTGATCGGCCTAGCACGTAAGCTAGCATCAATGCGACAATGAAGGCAAGGGGGTGAACGGATACGAACTCATCTGTAAAATTTGTTTTGGCGAGGTTGAACCATTCCAACCAAACACACAGCAAGATGAGAGAAAAACTGAGAAGCAGATAGACATAATCTGACAGAGCCTTGTATGTCCCGAAGACCAAAGAGAATGAGTGTAATCTACGGGAAATATCTTCCATGACATCATGGCACTCCCCATTGAAAATGGCAGCAAGAGTGCCTGGCGCTATCACGCAAATACCATACAAAGACACGAAAAATGCTACCAGATGCAGGGTAGAAACATCTTCTCGGGTATGATGGATCCACGCACTGTAAACAAAACTTTGGAGGGTACCTGCAAGTGCAATGTAGGCCACGGAGCAGCGGTAACACAGGGGGCAAAGGAAAGAATAGAGGAATGCTTCGCTGATATAGTGTCTCTTGTACCGCAGTGAAACATCAACGACCCAAGAAACCACAGGCACCCAGAAAATCGAAAGACATGCCAAATTCCTTGTTGAGCTTGAGCATCGTTTTCTCAGCAGCAGAATCAAGTAAAAGATATGAATAGCTATTCCTGGTCCACTCGAGAAGGTGTACCCTATCGCCATGCTTCTCTCCGCAACATCCTCGTCCGTCCGTGCCTTGGTTAAGAAGAAAAAAAATTGCATGCACAGGCCGAGCAGGGAAGAGATGCAGATTGTAAAATCCAAAAGACGAGGGCGGTCAAGGAAGCTGTCTAATCGACTCATGCCTGCTTGCTGACTGATTTATGGATTGGTGGCGATTGTTCCAGCTAGTCAAGCTTCACTCTGTCACAGCATTGCCCTCCATACACTATCTCGATGATGCTCCTGCCAAGACTCCCAACACGTTCGCAAGTCGTTCATTGTATGCCGTTCGTGTACCAGGCTGTGGTAAAAGATAAAACCTTTGTCCTGTAGCGGGAGGGGTGCGGAAGGTCAATCAGAGGGGTGGGGGTGTAGAAAGGTAATGAAAACACACTGAGGCGAGCCCAGTGTGGCCGTAGTGACACGAAGTAAGCTAAAACTGGTACTAAATTATTAGTCAAAGAGGATCTATGGGGGTAGGGTGTTTAATGACTGATATGAGGGGGTAGTACGTTGAAAGGGTGGTGTGGAAGGTCATGTAAAGGCCCACAAGTGCGGGTGGTCAGTGACACGGGTAGTTTAAAGGGATTTATGGAGGGTAGTGGTGGGGAACGGTGAGGAAGGTGAGGCAGGCTCGGATCGCTCGTCCCGTGGGGGTAGGGTACCTCAATTTCCCTGAAAATGCCTGGTGGGTTCTAAAAAAGGATTGAGTAAGCAAGCAAAGGGGTGGGGGTGTCAAACCTGTTCCATCACCCCAGATTTTTACTGAATATCATTGCAGATATTGAGAGGACATAGGGGTAGGGGGTGATATTTCAGGAAAACGTGGGGGTGGGGTAGAAAGCAGGAGCGCGTGAAGTTCCTGTCCCAAGGGTAGGGTACTTAAAAATGATGGGTGGGTAGGCCACGAGGGTCGTATTAGAACGGGGTAGTCTGGAGGTAGGTAGGGTAGTGATTCTAGAATAATCATACAGATAGGTATGGGTAATATCGAGGCATGAAAGGTATGTAGTACATATTTACTTAAAGGCACAATCGAAAATTCTCCCACCTATGCAAACTTCTTTCAACTTCCAAGCATTTGCGGAAGAAATGATGGGTAGGGTACCATTTTTCATGGGGTCCTCTGAAATTTGAGGTGGGTAGGGGTGATCTGGCGGCTGTGAGTCATCGCGCGGTTCAATGCAGAGGAGGCATGGGAGTCGGGGAGGAGGAGAGGAGAGGAGAGAGCAAGGAACATGCGTGAGGACGAGGAAGGAGAACAAGAGAACACAATGAAAGTGTCTGTTCATACGAGATCAGATGCAGAGGGTGAGGAGCAGAGTACGTGGATTCAGAAGTTGGTACAAGGAATTTTTCGGGATCAGTTTACATGGAGTAAAGACAGGGAAATCAGGAGGAAAACGAAGGTGGTCTTGGAGGTATCACAGTCTATGAGGGATAGGAAGAACCTTGTAATGATCAACACAAGACTACTGGAGTATCAGCTGCATAATTGGTGCAAGATGTACCGGAACTGTTATCCCGGCTGAAGGGGGTTGTCCGAACACATCAGAGAGATGAGTGAAACATTTGAAAGATAACTTGGGGTAAACAGAATGAGTTTTAATGCTGTAGTCCTTGGGGAAACCTGACCTCACATGCTTTCCCATGGTAGAAATCAGGTTTAGCAGGAAGGAGAAGGCAGTAGCCGAGTTGTGAGAAGGATACCTTGACTGAATTACGAGAGCAGCATGAGTGGCCTCAACCCATCTGATGATTGAATCACAGTTTTGAGAAGGAGAGCATCTACTGGGTTATGAACTGAGGTTGCAAAGTGATAAGAGATAACAACTGAGAATGTCTGGTACGTATTGTGTGGTGTTGCCGTTGCTGCTGTCATGTTCCCCCTTTGAGTATACTGTTCTCCACATGAAGCTCGCAGGATATGCTGTTTTCTTGCTAAAAGATGTCATTCTTTCATGCCCTGCTATGCTGTACTGGACTTCCTCTTCACTGCACCCTGCTGGCTTCCTGTTGGCTTGGCCTGACACGTCTGAGTAGCGTGGACTGGCATGAATGGGTCTAAAGGCGGAGCTAGCAAGAATCATCAAGGCAAGCAGGTAATCTACCTTGATATGCTGAGTGTTCTCCTTCTGAATTGGAGCTGAAGCAGACTGCAAGCGACGTGAATTCATACTTCAAAATTAATGATATCGACAAGATCATCAACATTGCTATCAACAAGGTGGATCAACACTAATTTTGCCTGAGGAAGCTAAAGGGTTGGTTTCCATGTTAGGTCGCTGAAGAGAAACCGAATGACTTCAAGAACGGACTTGCAGATGCTCTTGAGAACGCCTCCCATATGGCCAAGAAAGATAAGAGTACGGATGGCAGATGGTTGTCTCCTCGCTTGACATTCCAGCAGAGGCTCATTCGAAGGAAGATGCAGAGTCTGCAAAGAAGTACCTTGAGAGTCACAACGCTGAGGTGAGTTTGTTGAGTTCTCGATGGTGGGTTGGTCCTCACATCACGCCAGGCCATTCTCAGTGAGATCCTCGGGAAGATCGCTGTCTCCATGCCATCCAACCCAGCTCAAGTATTGGCTCATCATGCCAGAGAGGCTACAGGACAAGCTCCTGCCGGACAAGCAGCTTCTAGCCCTAGCCCTAGTAAGTCTTGTGTTTGTGAATGCTTCATGCTCACAACAGCCCCAGACAAGGGCGGCAAGAAAGACAAGAAGGATGACAAGCCTGCAGCCGCTTCTCCGGCTCCCAAGCAGCAGGTGAAGTCATTCTGAACATCGATTTGTTGGACCTTGACGGCTGTGTCAGGACACCAGCGGACCCCCTGCTGGAGTCGACGCTAAGAAGTGGAAGGCCGCAGTCAAGGAGGGAGGTCTGAGCGGACTGTCGGCCATGGCGGTCTGATTGACTCGACTTGACAGGAAAGAAAGGCGTAGAGCTAGCTGGTTGTGCCGACATGGGAGGGCTCGAGTTCTTCACCACTACCATCGACTCTGCTGACGGCGCGTTGGAGTTGCTCGTTGCTGCGATGGATGGAGCGAACAAGGAGCCTGACCCAAACGAGGAGGAGGCCAAGGGTGGCTCGGGGATGGTGGGCAAGATGTTCCTCTCCTCCAGCGACAAGCAGCTTGGTCTCATGTGCTACGTGCCTGAGGGCAAAACTAGCAAGTGCAACGCGTCTGAGTGGATGAAGGCGGTCTTGGCACCGGTGAACGGAGAATTCGTTGAAGGCAACGAGAAAGTGGCAAAGGGCCGTTCGGTCGGAGATGGGCAGAACAAGTTTCCTCTCAAGGACAAGGATACTTGCCAAGCAGCGTCGGTCGCGTGGCTGAAGGAGCGAGGCCTCTTTCCGCAGGGTGACGACGAGGGAGACGACTGGGTCCCCGATGAGGATGCAGGCATTGAATGGTGAGGTCAGTGAAGTGACGATGAGAAACTCTTTGGCCTCGAGTCTGTCCTAGCGCGTCACGCCTTGAGGTGGTGGAGATAAGATGATGGTTAGCCGAAACTGTGAAGCTTTCGCACGTAGTAGATCCTGGCATTAAATTTTGTCCTGTCATTACATTTTTCCTCGAGCGTTTGACTCCCACTCTCGGATTAGCGAGCATGCCGCTTGCTCTACAAGTCTACTCCGCTCGCAGGCAGCGTCAAGGTGCTCCACCTTCCTTCCGAGAGCTTGTCGAGCGTCAGGGTCAAAGTGCCCTGGTGTTGAGGGTTAGGCATCAGCAAGAGACTTTCATCAGAGCTGTTGCCTTGGAGAAGGTCCAGTTGCATTCGTCGGGCCGGATCTTGTCAAACAAGTCTCTGCCGAGGAGCTTGAGAGACAGCAGGACACAGGAGAGGAGCGAACTCACAAGCTGAGGACCTCCTCGCCCTTGACCGTGGTCGTCACCTTCTGCGACGAGAACTTGACTTTGACATCCTTGCTCGAGGCAGCCTGGGGGACCTGAAGGGACCACCTAGTCAAGTCTGGTGGGTAGTCGTAGTTTTGACCTCCAGCAGAATCTCGACGCTTTCACTGTCCTGAGACCACTTGTATCCGCCGCAGTCATGCTCGTCGTCATCTGCACGTGACCAGCGTCACGTGGCTCCTCCTGTACCCTTGCATCTCACCGTTGACCGTCTGCTGCACCCCCTTGGCCTCGAGCGCGTCCTTCACCTCCCGCATCGCAAGCCCGTACTCGTAGTTCTCCGTCGCCGCTCGCCTGAGCACTCCATCAGTGCCAAGTGGAGTCGTCCCGCCCGCTTCCCACCTCAGCCAAGGGGCAGCCGAGTCGATGTCGGACAAGGGAAAGTCGACGTTGCGCATGGGAGCTGGCTGAACCTGCGTGCGACCGATGAAGACCTGTAGACGAGACGCAGTGAGCATGAACACTCGCTCAACCATCTCCTCACATCTCCGTAAAATTCCGCGTTGTCGAACCCGCAGGACTTCGCAATTCCACATGCCCTGCAAGGGAAAATCAGGTTTGAAGCAGGAGAGCAGGTAGAGCTGGAGTGCGGAGCAGGAGCAACATTTAGGGCAGCACGAGCGCTTTACCTCTCGTTCTTGGGAAGCTGTTTCAGCAGTCCCACCTGGGGTCTACCCTCAGCAACTCTTGCACACCAGCAGCTCAATCGCGCACCTCGTCCAAGTAGATGTAAACCCCACAATGGCTGTTGCTCTTGGCAGGTCGCACAAGAGCAAAAGTCTCGACCTGAGCCCCTCCTGTCAAGTTTCCCCCACTTCTTCCTCACCGCCCGCTGCTCACCACACCCTCACTCGCTGCCTGGTCGAGCGTCTGCAACTCATGAGCAGCTGTAGTCTCCACACAGGCCAGTTACCGAGAGGCCTTCGGATCCCAGAGGCTGCGCGCTTGCTCCCAGGTGCTGCGCCGCTGCTCGCTGCGCGGCAGTGGCGTCGATCTTTCCTCCAGCAAAGACCGACTTGAGCATGGTGAGAAAGTTGTCTCGCGCTTCCGGCCCCTCGCCTGCATCGCCAGCTGAGGTCAGAAGTTTGCGAAGCTGAAGACACGTCACCTTGAATCTCTTCACATGGGAGATTCGGGTCTGCTGGTACCTTGACATACTTGAAACTGAGAGGAGGGTGAGAGGAGGAAAAATAGGCGAGAGGAAGGGAAGGTGAAGAATGCAGACGAGGGGACAAGAGACCTTATCCTCTTTCCAGGAGCGGGATCCTCGAGATTTTGTTTCTGTTGCGCAGCTGCTTTGCGACGGTCCTCGGGAGTCTCAATGACAACACCACGAGATCTGCATGAAGATGAACGCGAAGCCTGCTATGAAAGGAAGAACTGATGATGCAGAGAATGATGCAGGAAACATCACGAAGAGGGGGAGGCAAGATGTGAAATGGCACGAGGAAAGTCGGTCGGAAGGCATGCATGTGATGGAGTTTGAGAGCAAGGATGAGGATGGAGGGGCGAGGATGGATCAACGGACCTGAGCCACTCGATCTTCTCCTCTTGCGATCGTCCATCTGTGTCTTCATCTTTCCTTCCTTCCTCCTGCCTTCGCTTCTCCTCAAGCTTGTAAGCTTCCAGCGCTTCCTCCGTTCCCGGCATGCCCCGACTAGTCTGGTGACCCTACCCCACCCCTCTAGTGAAGTTTTCACTCACATCGATCATCGACTTCTATATACCCCTACTTTATAGAAGCTCACAGGGTTGTTTTCATGGGTCATAAAAGCCTTTTGTCTTTTAGTACCCCTCATCGGACTACCCCTACCCCAACAATTCATCCCATCCCCATAGAGAATACTCGAGAAGCCCGGCCGCCGGGCCCGCCGCCCGGGCCCCGGTACGGTCCAGTCAGCCACCGGCAAGGATCGGATTTTCAAGTTCGGTTTGGAGCACCTGTTTACTCAAAGTTTAGGGTTTTTACCGTCTCAGTTATGCTGAGTGGGCAATAACCGTTCAAGACTGAGTGGACTGAGTGAGATGCGGGCTGGCGAGCGGGTCACCTGAGATCATCTGAGTACCGTACCGTACGTCGGACTACGAGAGAAAGAGAGACTGACTCGGAAGCGAGCCCCCGGGCACTGATTTGCTTTGAAGATGTTGGGAGCCTTGTTCGGCGCTGGCACTGAGGAGTCCGGGCTAACTCGGAGGCCCCAGAGTCACTGACCGTGTGAGTTATTTCCTGTCACAGCCCGGCTAGCTCCGTGACATGATCGGACGACGCCGGGATATTATTGTACCGTAGTATCATGATGATCATTTTCCGAGGCACTGACCGCAGGGTCACCGGGGTCGGGCCCGGCCGGCAGCGGGCGGCCCGGCGCATCCAAGTACCGGGTCCGATCACTGTGCCACCGTGGCAGTGGCAAGTTACTCAGTGCGGCGACTTCATGATCATCGGATGGGCCGGGCGAGCCAAAATTTGAAACTCCCGCGAAACGCACGTCACCCCAGTTCCTGAGCCGGAGACTCGAGGAGAGGGAGAGGGAGAGGGAGAGGGAGAGGGAGAGAGGCGGGACTCGGGAAGTTCTCCTGAGATGGGAGAAGCCGTGAGAGGAAGGGAGGGAGTCGTGTATGCTTGCGGCGAGTGGGAGCAGGGGCAGTTGGGTTTACCTCGCTCATCACTGACAGGATCGCCGTCGGTGCCGACCAGCGGGGCGCTGATCTCCGACAAGGGTTCGCACCTGCCTCCTGTTGCTGTTGTGGACGAGCATGGCAACATCTCGAGGCCGATTGCCATCCCTTCGCTGCTGGCAGGCCACCATGTCGTGCAGGTAGCTGCTGGAGGAGACCATACGCTCTTCCTCACTGACGCGGGGAGGGTCCTCGCATGCGGAAGGAACGACTGCTACCAGCTGGGAGTGACCCCAGCTGGACCTGAGTACCTTGCCGGAGGGTCAAGGCTCGAAGGTTCAAAGTGCCTACAGGATGGGTACGAAGGGAGGGAGGCTGGGCCAGAGCCGCAGCAAGTGTCGACCCTCCGCTGGAAGAGGGTGGTGGAGATGGCATGCGGTGACGCCCACAACCTCGTGCGGTGCCTGGACGGGTCTGTGTACTCGTGGGGTCTGGGATCGAGTGGCAGGCTGGGGCTGGGAAACTTCAAGTCTGTGCCGCAGCCCTGCAAGGTCAGCGGGCTGGGAGAGGAGAGGTGCGTGTCGGTGGCTGCCGGGTACTACCACTCGTTTGCTGTGATGGAGGGCGGGAAGCTGTTTGCTTGGGGGAACGGAACATGCGGCCAGTTGGGGACGGGGAAGTTCGAGAGCTGCTGCGAGCCAGTGCAGGTGGAGGAGCCAGGGAACGGGCAGCGATGGAGGGCGGTGAGAGGAGGGGAGTACCATTCGCTGGGGATGACCGACGTTGGCTCCCTGTGGTCCTGGGGGCTGAACAACGACGGGCAACTGGGACACGGAGACGAGGAAAGGTGTGGAAGACCAAAGGGGATCTCCGAGCTCGTCGGAACCAAGATCTCCTGCTTCTCCTGCGGGCCCAACTTCAATGTCGCCATCTCGAACGGATCGCAGGTGAGACGGAGGGAGGGAGGGAGGGAGGGAGGGAGGGAGAGAGGAAGAGAGTGAAAGAGGTGGGAGGGAGGGAGGGAGGGGAGGGGGGGAGGGGCGAGAGAGAGATAGGGAGGGAGGGAGGGAGGGCGGGAGGGAGGGAGGGTGCATTGAGATGACTGCTGGCATGATCCTTATCTCTCCTTGCAGGTCTTCTCCTGGGGTAACAATCGCTACGGCCAGCTCGGGCATGGCGACAAGGTTGAGCAGATTGTCTTGGTGGAGGCTTGACGAACGAGCTGCCAGGAGAACCGCAAGGTGCCGACGATGATTGTGAGTCTGGGGGGAGGAGCAAACATCGAGAAAGGTAGGAGGAAGAAACGTTGCGATCAGGCTCACATGGTCCCCTCGTCCTCTCAGTGAGCTGCGGAGGGCGGCATGTGCTCGGGCTCGACAGGAAGGGACGCATATGGGCATGGGGCTGCAACGAGAGCGGGTGCCTGGGAATAGGAGACAACATCCCGCGACTTGCTCCTGTTCCCATCAGCAACAGCGACAGCCTGGAGCTGCAAGAGGTGATAGAGGGCGGGGGGTGCTGGAGTTGAGAGCTGGCGGCTCAGATTGTCTGCGGGGTCTCGCACTCCATCTTCTTGTCCAAGTTCTCCGCCAGTGAGGTGCAGTCAAGGAAGTTCTACCAGGTGAGCAAGGAAGAGAAGTTGCAGAAGCCAGAGGAGGAGGAGGGAAAGATGGGTTGGAAGGGGAGGTGGGAAGGGAGAAGGGAATGGGACGGGGGGGGGGGGGAAGGGGGAAGAGGAGATCCGGAAATCACAGGACGAGTCAGGAAGGCCTGTTGCATCACGACGACGTGGTAGAGGACGGCTTCTGCCTGTACCAGTATGGGGTTTCTTCCCGCTTCTTCCCTCTCTCGCTCGCGGAGAATTTTGCCTCGAAGCACGCGGTCGCAATCTCTGCCGATTTCATCACGGTCGCCAACCCTCAGGTGATGAGAAGTGGTGGAGGAGAGGCGGCAGAAGAATGTTGAAGACTGGAGCATGATGAGGAGAGGGGCTTTGCGGCATCTGGGACAAGGAGAGGGAGGGGGAGGGGGAGGGGGAGGCGAGGCAGAGCAGCTGAGGAGCATCGGCAGCTCGACAAGCGGCTGTCCGAAGTGTTGGACCGCATGCAGGAGTTGGCGCTACAGGTCGGAAGTGTGAAGCTGAGAGGAGGAGGAGGATGATATTTGCAACGAGAGCAGGCCTCCTCTCCCCTAGAGCGAGTTCGTATCCTCGCCCTCGCCGCCTACTACGAGCTAGGAGGAGCTCAAGTTGCTCTCAATGAGGTGAGGCCAAGACCGCAACCCTCCCTTGTTGCCCTCCTGTTTCTGAACGCCTGCCTGCCCGCCTGCTGGTCGGCCTGCCTTCCTGCCTTCCTGCCTTCCTTCCTGCCTGTCCTTGTAATCACCTTCTCGTTTCATTTCATTGTTTGTCTTCTCCTCTGTCCCCTTCGTTCCTCTTTCCACGATCTTCTCTTTCCCGCTCATCCCCCCCCCCCCCAGGTGAGCAAGCGACACATAACCCAGCTGATGGAACGCAAGTAAGACCCACCTCCAGTATTTCCCCCCCTCCTCCTCCCACCTAAGTTCTTTCCTCCACCTTCATTCCCTCCTGCTCGTCTTGTGCTTGCTACCTCCTTCTTCTACTCCTGTGGCACCCTCACCTTCGCTCCTAGACAAGACAGCAGCGGCCTCGTTCCTCTGGGATCCATCAGGTGCCTCTCCCCTGCTGTCTTGCTCGCTCATGCTGCATCAGGCTAGGGGACAGCAGGCACAGAAGCCTTCTCTTCAAGCTTGCCTGCGACAGGATGGGAGTGCCGTGTGCCCTGCTGCGAGGCTCGCTTCCTCCGAGTGAGAACGTTGGCTGCAGTTCCATGGCTCGTGTCTGACTCCGTCCAGACATAGGAGAAGGAGCGTTTCTCGACACCACGTTGTGCTCCACTGAGGAAGGATACGAGAAAGTGTAGGGTTGCCTCCTCCTCCTGCCTCCTTTGCACCAACTATCCCTCCTGCTGTCAGGGAGCGTTCTTGACTGCACGCAGGCACCACTGGAACATAGTGAAGCTGGAGCAGGAGCAGGTACGGCCAGAAGGGATGTAAGGGAACGAGTTTCTAGAGACAATGCGAGAGCAGGGGAAGGGAGGGGGAGGGGGAGGGGGAGGGGATCGAGGAGAGGGAGTTCGAAGTGACTTTTGATCAGTGCTTTATTGTCGACACTGTCGGTTTACCATCAAATGTCCACATGCTCGAGGACAGCTCGGACTTTCTCACTCAGGTTCTGATGCTTTCCGCCGTCACTCTTCTCCCCTCCTCTTCTCCAACATCCTTGTTGTTAACCTCTCTCCTCCTTCTTCCTTCTTCTTCCCCTCACTTCTGTGTCCAGATGGGGTTAGCAGACAAGGATCAGGAGTGAGGAGGTTCCTTCTCTGTCGTCTTTCTGTTTGTCCCGCGCACTCATTTAAATTGTACTCTCCTCCTGCACCTGTCCTTCTTCCCCTACCCTCCTCTCGCATCCGTATCATCGATATCTTGGCTTGTTCTCGCAACTCCATCGACAACATTTCGACAATCACAATGTACCTCTTTTACAATCATTATCATCGTATTACATTACCTATGTCGTTGTCATCCTCAACATATCTCCATCATTATCGTCGTCGTCGTCGTCGTCGTCATCATCATCATCATCATCATCATCATCATCTCAATCATCATAATCATCTCCAACATCATCACCTCAATCATCATCATCTCCTCAATCATG